CACCTATAAGATTATAGTTTTGATGAGATGAGTTGAGATTGCAACACAATTAACTAGATCCTAGCTAGATTAACTATGTTAATTGAGAGAGGGAGAGAGAGGAAGGTTAATGAGGTGTCCAAATCGATGGGAGCTGGGAGATCCAATTGTTGCTTGCAAGATGGGGTTACCCAAAAGGGGACTTGCCTGGCTACGTGTGACATTACTCATAGTTGACTTGGCTGATGTCCACAATTAAGACAAACAACATTAATTAAGACATGGGGTTGCTTAATAACTGGCATTGAGTAAGCCAATAATTAATTAAGGTTTCGTGTCGTTAAGTTACTGAAGGTGGTGTTCGTAAACGACATTGTTCATCGATCTAATGGCTATGAGTGGCCGATGAAGCTACATATATTTGTGCAGCCAGATCATGACCAACCACTGATTATTATTTTTTGTGCTAATTGATATTGATTTTTAATCAAAGCCATGCACGTATATTACTATTATTTGTTTATGATTTGCTGGTGTGCACGTAGTCCATTCCCCAATTACATATATTGTATTCTTGACATTGATCACACAAAAGGGATTCACATGTCTGGAAGCTGAGTCACCCATCGAGAACTTAATTTCCATGTATGCATTCATTAATTAATATACTAGTATTTATGGCTGTTAATGAACCAAACCGCTCATGAGTCCTTAACCACTCGACGTTCGACTTGATAAAAACTCATCCGATTAAGAAAAAGTTCGACTCGTCTATTAACGAGCAAAAGTTGAGCTAAGCTTTGTTCAGCGTGTGAGTTTTGTGAGCCAACTCGAGACTAGGTGGCTTGTTGAGCTAAAGTCGTGAACTCTCTTGTTTTGAGTTCATGAGATGTCTCAACATTATGATTAGTGAGCCAACTTGACTACTGGCTTATGAGAAAATCAATCTATATCTTGTGGGTTGAATTGTTGATAATTCATAGGTTTATTGACTTGTATATCTCATATGATTAAGATTTTGAGTATGTGAGCAAATATGTCTCATATATTATATGAGATCAGTTAATCACATGTACGTATCATATATATAGTATAAATATTAAGGTTTAATTTATAAGTTATCATATAATTGAGCTCGAGCTGAACTACTTCCAAGTCAGCGCCGCGTCTGACAACTCACCATCCATCAGATAGAAAAAGTTAACGAAGAGTTAACGTTTGTCTAGTTCTTAGTATTCGATAGATTTGACTAATAAAAAAGAAAACCCGAAAAGATTTTACTAAAATAATCATGACCTTTTTTAATTAATCAAACTTCATATATTATCCCAAACAAACAACAATGCTATACAACCCATTTTAACCATCTGTGAACTAACAACTATTTTCCGTTCCTATCATAAAGACCGAACCCAAAAACTAACAACAAACTAGGCAATATTTTTCCATTCCCATTAGCATATATCAACGAATCACACGTCGACATGTCGGATTTGTTGTTATAATACCTATATATGCTTATCCAAAAACGCTCTTTCCAAACCTGCCTGGTTGTTTTCTCAAACAAACAAGATGTTCTTGCACACTAAATTAAGCTTTCTGATAGGCCTATATATAAAGCTTTTTCCACAAAATTTTTCTCTCATTCGTAAGAAAACAATTTACTCACTAATTTAACAATATATATTGACAAGTGCTTCTGGGTTCTTGAGTAGTTCTGTTGCATGGATATGAGTTCGAAGTTCGTGGATCTACGAGCAAGGCAAGGAATCTCAAAGGACTCCGAGACCAGTAAGTCTCCGAAATATTCATCATCATCTAATTCTTCGAATAATAGGAGAAATCTCTCGAGCGCCACAACTAATTTTAATGGCAGCATGACGAAAGAATGTAATAAGGTAAAGCAAGCGGAGGAGTCGCTTAGAATTATTATGTACATAAGTTGTTGGGCTCCCAATTGAGTGGATGACGACCAGGTTGATTATGCAAAGTGGCGCGAGCGATAGATCGACCGATCTATATGTAAATTTTGGATTCTTGCAATCGATTTGTAACTTGTAATTGTAACAAAACAAAAAAAAAATGCTCTCTCTGCAATGGTTCCCCTGGAATTATGTATATGCTTACATTACTTGTAAATCCTAATCTCTAATTGGGATTTAACCGTCCTAATCATGCAATTTCACAAGTCCTGTTTGTAGATTATGTGCAAAGGTATACGGGAAAAAAAAAGACTCGATACAAATCAATTTACCAAAATAATTATTATTATAACAAATCACCCCCACAACGACGGATTTGGCGTCAGGTTCGGTCATCGGAATTCGTCGTACAATGCTTATCGAAAAACACGATTTTCATAATTTTTCGACACTAACAGCTTGTTTGGATTGACAAAAAAGTAAGGAATTGGAATTCCATTTCCATATATTATGTTTGAAATAATAAAAAGATTGAGAATTGAATTCCATTGGGTCTAAAATTTGGGAATTACAATTCCTATCAAAAGTGCTAGGAATTGAGAGAATGAAGATGGAATTAGTGAAACCCATCAATACTTTTATTATTTTAGTGACCCACTATCATTTTACTTTCTTTCTCTCTTATCATATTTCATTTCCCAAAATAAAACAAACATATTACATTATTTATTATGGTTAAAAGTGCAATTCATTTTCATAGTTGTAGGAATTATACCAAACACTAGAATTGAAAATGGAATTCTATAAAAATAAAAAAATGGAATTCCAATTCCATTTCCATTTCTTCCGAAATTGTATCCAAACAGGCTGTAATGATAAGTTCGAGGACTTTAGTGGATTCTGCGACCGCCACGAATCCTCTAGAAGATTCTAGCGCTACCAATTCTGTTCTTCTTCTTCGCCGTCGTCAAGGAACTTGTCAAGCATCGCGGGTTGCAAGCCGGCGAACAATACGATGAGTGATAAGGTGGATGACAAGCGCAAACATTCATACTATTTATAATGTTATGATTGGTTAAAAATTAATCCTCTCGTGTTATTGGGTTGGAAAAAAAAAATCATCGGGGTAACGAAACCATACAATTACAAACCTCGATATGAAAAAAAGGCATGTGCTTGAGGCATGGATGATGCTTCAATTGAAACGTTTTACTCCAAAATGAATGTGTGAAGGGTTTCAATCTAATTATGTAAACAATGAATTTGTAGCAAGTCCTTAATGCTCGGAATTTGAGTGTCAAATCCATCACCCAAATCTCACAAGCAAATGATACCTAAATAGTAGGTTAGGTAGACTCATACATAGAAAGCATAGGCAGAGTAGGTCTTGGTTGGTCAATGAGGACACCTCCTACATAATGAAGTTCAGGCCCAGCCCATTCCAATGGATCAACAAACGAAAACCCAAGCCCAAACGAGTGGCAATCCAGATCTGGTAAAAGAAGGAAAGGCCCGCCCGCTATATAAAAACTCCTCTGCAACTCTTATCTCAAGTACGTCTCAACCACAAGAGAAACAGAGACGATAACCTTCCCGCTTCCATTCAATTCATCGATTCAGCCATAGAAATCTAAACCCAAGAAAAAAGCTATGATCTTGTTGAAACCCAATTACAACCGCCATCCGCCATTTTCCCCCTTTTCGGGTACTTATAATCTCCAAACTTCCAGGGCAAGGCAAGTCGGATTCCCGCCGGCAAGCAGCGGAAGGCGGCCTACGGTGACAAAATGCGGCGGCGGCGGCGGCGGAGGAGGAGCGGAGGAGAAGCCGCGGCGAAGCTTCTTGAGCCTGGAGGAAGCTGGGCTGGTGGAAATTTCAGGGCTCAGCTCCCACGAGAGATTCCTCTGCCGTTTAACGGTTTGTTAAATTTTTTTTAAGTTAATCTCAGGCGCCTTATTAATCAATTGATTAACTCTGTAATTACTAATAATTCCTTTTTTGTGTTGTTGAATAGATATCTTCGTTGAACCTTCTGAAAGTGATGTCGGAGCAAGAAGGGTGCGCCATTGAGGAGCTGAATGCAGGGAAGGTATGCGACTGGTTCTTGAAGGACAAGCTGAAGCGAGAACAGAACTTGGATTCTGCTGTCCTTCAATGGGACGACTCTGAGTTCCCAATTTGACCTCAGACCTTTATTTTTCTTGTTACGTTCGTTACTTTTACTTTGTTGCATTGGCCACTTTGTTTCTCTAACTAGTGCATCGATGCACCTCAATCAGAATTACGGGTCGTTTGGATGGGTTAATTGTCAATGTGGTATTTGTAGAGTCAGATAACGCATTTATTGTTCAAGTGGGATTTCAGTGGTAATTGAAATAGAGTACCTCGTTTTGGATGAACTATGCACATGTGGTATTTGGTAAAACTAGAGTGGTAAAAACGAGTTATTTCGAAATAACACATGAATATGAGTTATTTCAAACAACTTATCTTGAGTTATTTGTCGATAACTCACTGTCCAAATAACTCCTTTCAGTAAAACGCAGCCAAATCATACAAATACTCCATCCAAACGACCCCTTGATCACTTATTTCGCTAATACGGAGAGGTGGCAAGGATGAAAAAATCACTTATTTCGATACTAAAATTGTAAACTCGAAGAATGTCATCTTGAGTAGATAAAGGACTAAAAAGAAAAATATCGACAGGAGATAATGTTGAATTTCAATATCTACCTACATTCTACTCTCTGTTTTCTTTAGAATAAAACCTTCAGAGTTGAGTTTAAGATTGACTCAATTAAAATAATTGTTATGCAACATATTTTTTTGACTTTGTGAATGAAATAAACGATCAAATAATAGGGAGTAATTGTAGAAAACAAATGATTTATTAGTGGGGGAAGAAAAGTAACAAGTGAATTTATTATTGACCTAAGTGCTTCTTCTCCTTTTCTCCATTCCTCTCGCCTGACTTTTCCCCCCAGTAGTTGGATCGAAACTTCCCCGCCCGCGGAAAGATAAAAACCGAACCAATTCATGCTCTGACGACCTTTTCCTCCTCCTCCTCCTCCTCCGCCGCCACCACCACCGCCGTCCATGGCTATGGTTGAGAACAAGTCACCGACTGACAACTCCAACAACAGAGTGTGGGGTTTCCTCAGGCTGCCCTTCCGAGCTACCACCGGGAATGCGACGCCGTCCCCTTCGTCCTCGTCGCAGCTTCACCACAGCCACCACAACAACTACCAGCACGGCCAGAATAACGCCCCCGTGGAAGGATCTAATCCTCACCCTCCCAATTCGGTCTCTTCCGTCGCCAAATCGCTGCTCCCCACGCGCCGCCGCCTCAAGCTCGATCCGGCCTCCAAGCTCTACTTCCCTTGTGAGCTTATTCTCGATCTCTCCCGCACTGTCTGTGATTCTTAGCCTAGGTTTCTGCGGAATTTCTTTTCCCCGCGGGATCTTTTAGTCATTTTTGTTAGTCTTGGGAGAAAGAATTGACTGAAATAGTGAAATTGCTGGCTTCTGCTGCATTAATAGTGGCCGATATCTGCTTTCTTAATTGCTTCTGTTGGGTATTTATCGTTTCTACTGGGAATTAATGAAGCTTTGTTCTTCCGTCTCTGGTTGTAGATGAACCCGGGAAGCAGGTGAGGAGTGCCATCAAGATTAAGAACAGTAGCAAATCCCATGTAGCGTTCAAGGTATAGATTGATTTAATCAACTCCTTTAAGGGTTCACCGCGGCTTCCTCTAGATATTGGGTGCTCGTTGATATGCCTGAAAGAACCTAATGGCCTTCTGATCATATATTTCTAATGCATTTGCTATCTTGGTGTGGTTTAGTTTCAAACAACTGCGCCGAAGAGTTGTTTCATGCGCCCACCTGGGGCTGTTCTTGCTCCTGGGGAGAGTATCATAGCTACTGGTAATTCCTCTCAGCAGTTATGCTTGTGCTGTTAAATGCATTGGTCATGTGGCTTCTTCTTCCATACCGTTATCTTACGGTGGTATCTTTTCTGGCATATGGATGTTAGTTTTCAAGTTCGTCGAGCACCCAGAAAACAATGAGAAACCAATGGACCAGAAGAGCAGGGTTAAGTTCAAAATTATGAGCTTGAAGGTGAAAGGGCCAATGGACTATGTGCCTGAGCTGGTGAGTTTACGTTTCAATGCAATAGGTAGCTATCAATTTTCCAACTTTGCTTAGTCAGTTGTGTTCATAGGAACAAACAAGCTGTAGCTAAGTCTGGTAGCTGAAATGTGGAAGCCCTGGGAAAAGCTCGAAACTTCCATGCACTATAATTTTTCTTACTTCCTCGGTTAAGCTTGCTGCCTCTTGAGTCTAAGTTATCCAGTTTTAAGAATCTCCTTCGGTTAGCAATCACGCATTAGAGGCTTAACTTATTTTGCTCTCAGTCACTGTGATGTGATTGTACTTCTGAATTCTGATTGAGGTTCTTTACTCAGGCCTTTCTAGTGGTCATTACAGGCTCTTCTCCCCGCACACATCTCTGTCCTAATCTACTGGAATAACCATTTCCCTTTGCAGTTTGATGAGCAGAAGGACCAGGTAGCAATAGAGCAGATATTACGCGTTATTTTTCTAGACCCAGAGCGCTCAACCCCTGTAAGTTTGATGGTTATTAATAACTCCATTTGAAAATGCAAAAGTTGCAAACTTGATCTTCTCATTGGTCTGCACAATCTTTTCATCGGTATAACAGTCTTTGGAGAAGTTGAAGCGCCAATTAGCGGAGGCTGATGCTGCAGTGGAAGCCCGGAAGAAACCCCCGGAGGATGCAGGTCCAAGAATCATAGGCGAAGGACTCGTGATTGATGAATGGGTGAGTTAACTCGGTTTATTCCAACATCAACCTTTCTTACTTGGCTATAACCCACCACACTGGCCTCACATTAATACCCTTTTTATGCGTTCTTGTATATCAACAGAAAGAGCGAAGGGAAAGATACCTTGCTCGACAGCAGGGTGAAGCGGTAGACTCGGTATAGACGAAACTAATGAGCATCGAGCTTTTGTTATTCACGGCTTGAGTAGCATGGAAAATTGATTGATGTCGGTATGTTCCTCGTCTACTCCATTGTACCATATAGGAAGAGGAGAAAAAAGCTCTTGAGAATGTCTCCATGTAAAGAAAAGATATGCATTGTTGTTGTAAGGTTGATTTGTTTTGTTGATTTTTGAGTGTTAGAAGAACCCCTTGTTGTATGTCTTTCACCATTCAGCTCTGCCTGTAGATAAAATTATAATTTTGATTTGGCCTGCCTGCTTCTATAACCTGAAATTATGAACTGGTCTCATGTTGGGTTGTAATGCTCCTAATTTGATGAATTACTAGCTGTTTTTCACAGAGAAAGGAAAGCCGGCTCTTCCTGATCTGACGTTGCCGGGAAAGAGACGAGCGAGTCTTCCTCCAAGAACTGGTTCTCTTTAATAAGTTCTGAAGAACTTTATTTCAGTCAAGGGGCACTACAGAATTGAGTTGCTCCCTTTATTCACCTCTGCTAATCAGCAGAATTTGGCAGGAAAATCTTAACCACCGACTAACAAAGGATTAATATTGAACTATGAGGTGGGCAATGTTTAGATCTGTATATGGAAAAAGAAGCTGATTCAAAGATGGGATCAACCGAATCGCGAACTAAATGCGCTTCTAATCCAACTTAAATCGTCATTTCGCTTTCATATTTGCTCCGATTCATTCTCGATTTGATTCTGGACCAAACAAATCCATATCTACCATACCCTACCCTTATCTAAAGAAGTAAGAACCATTCATAAATTTGATGGATGACATTGTCTTTTTGCTTTCTCTTCGTTTCCCTTTCATATGCTCTTTTCATTGTTGAGATTGACATGAATGCAAAAAAAAAAAAAAATTGTTCTAATCTTGATCTGATACTGGATTGGACCATGACTACTCATATTTGCCAGGACCATTGCTTTGAGGTTGACAAGGATTGTATAAAGTTGTGTCAATCCACTCAAACAAACACATACCATTTTATCGGTTGTAATGATATATAGTGAACGACTAACAATCCCAGTACCTTCATTCTTGTTTTCTTATAGCTTTCATCAAGCTAAGCAAAGGAACAGACTTTCATGACAAAGAGGGTTTGCTGTTAACGTGCGTTTGCTGCCACGTTTTCTCCACCTCTGGCAGATAAGGGTTTGATTGATGATGCTCACAAAGCGCTTGATTTTCTTTGTATTCCGAAGATCAAGTTGGTGTTGTTATATTGTGATGTTTTATTTTGTTTTCTTTCCCTTTCTAAAACCTTCTGCTTCGAACTGTACAAAAGAAACGATCCTACCAAATCCAACGTGGAGAAGAATATGAGTGACTTGGGCAAGCTTCGGACGGAGATCAGCGTGGCTGGGAGCGAAGGAAAAAAGGACCCAGATGGGGGAACTTCGAAACGGAACTCCGGGGAGTTCCGGCGCTCCGATTCCGGCGAGGAAGGCTGTTCACTCATCGTGAGCGGTGGTCGAGATGGAGAAGCGGGAAGGAAGGAGAAACGGGCTGACGACGAGTCGATGCGGAGAGTAATGTATCTCAGCTGCTGGGCCCAAAGATAGATGGGCCGACGAGCCCGTGTAACACCAGGGCTCCATGGGCTGATCTCGTGGCAAAACAGGCTGGAAAACGAGTTGTCGTTGAAGGTGTTGTATTACCAAAAAGGCCTTTTGGGCCTGGCCCGAAGTTATCAAGCCCAGCCGCACGCTATCATGCTATTTGAGTTTGAGTTTCGGTGGGCTCGACTCGATCGATGCTTGTTGCTTTTTTTTTTTTTTATATATATATTTATGTTTTCATAAACCAGACCTACTAACCATACTTGTATGGAAAATGGGCATCTTGTTTGTACAGGAAGAGAGATCAAACACAGAAAACTTGTATGGAAACCGACTCTCGTGAAAGCCCGCGTATGTTGTTTTTCCTCCTTTCCATTTTCACCCAAAGGGAAAGAAGAATCCCAAGAAGTAAGAACATTTGTATTCCAAAAGGAAAAAGGCAAAAAAAGGGAGATTTGTCACGATGGAAGAGAAGAATAGTTTGATGTGTTGTGGCATCATGGATAGCCAAGTATTTGATCTCTCTAGACTAGGAAGAACCCAAGAGTATCCAATGAGCCTCCTTTTCCTTTTTGTGATTTCAAATCTCTAGAAAATGGGGAGTTTTTTCCAATTCTAGCACCATTAAAAAAAATTACAAAACTAGCACCCAAATAAAAAAAATTACAATTGTAGCACTACGTCTATAATTCTGCATGGGTGATTGTCGGGTGTCGGAAAATAATTGACACACAGACCGGACTGGGGGGTGCGGTCTGTGTGGCTAAACCGCACCTTAGATATGCGGTTTGGTTTTGTAGGAGTAAACCGCATCTCTAAGGTGCGGTTTGCCTAGGTCAGGCCAAAACCGCACTTCGACCATGTGGTTTGTGTAGGGCAGACGTGAAACCGCATGGCCAAGATGCGGTTTCGACCCAGGAAAATGGACCGCACCCTAGAGGTGCGGTTTATATATAAAACGCACCTGGAGGAAGCGGTTTATATGTAAAACGCACCTCAAGGGTGCGGTCCATAAAAAAAAGTGATAGTTTTGTAAATATTTTAGGAAGGGTGCTAGTTTCGTAAAAAAAAATTTAAATGTGTTATTTCTAGAAAAAACTCGAGAATGGAAGTTTTAATGGCAAATGGTTAAAAAGTAAAGAGATTCACAAGATGAGTCCATCCCACCAACCGCAGATGTACAAACAGCACATGATTCCCAATCTCTTTTCTTTTTGTAAGGGAAAATGGGTAATTATAGTATAGTGACACATAAAATAACAATCTTATCCACCCACAAACCATATATGTATACACACTACAAAATATTCAGAAAATAAATGGACTTAACTCATTCTCAATATACTTAGGTTTGAGTTTCGACTGGTTAGTCATTCGCCGATCTTCTCTTTATCTGTATGGTGATAACAGTCAAATATGATTCATAATCAAGTACAGTCGATTTCCAAAAAAAAAATGTAAAACCAAAGGAAATCAAAATTTCACAAAGAACTAAAACTTGATTCAATTTCGATTTGGTCGGTCGATTTTTCCTTCTTCTTAAGGGATCACATTGAATAAACAAGAAAGAAAATATCAAAATTGTGAGAACCGAGTCCAATCAAAGCATATGCATCAATCGATTCAAATGTAAATCTGGCTCCTATTCGATAGATACGATTGAAAAAACAATCTCTTTCATATTTAAATCTTGGTCCTGCTCCGTACGAAGTAAGTATCAATGTTTATGTTGGTCGAAAATGAAATTAGCCATACATTGTGATTAAATCATAATCTTCAAGCAATGTACACTTTAAAAATACACAATTATAATGCTATGTAAAAAAATAAAAAATTGAAGTTGTCCCTATAAATCCCATTATGTTCAAGTCCTAACTCCTAAGAATGAAGCAATTTTTGCAGAGGCTTATCAAGCAAAACCATGAACCTTGCCCCGTTTACGCCATCAAACAAGGGAGAGGATTATATTATCAAGCGCGCCGAGGAAAATGACGCGATTCGATCCTCCTTTCTTTTCTTGTGTTTCCCGGTCCCATTCACTCTTTTCTTATAGACCGTGACCCTGAATTTATTTGAGAAAACAGAGTACTCTGTTTCTTGAGAAAACAGGGTGTCATGCGATCGATCTGGAGGGAGATATATCTCTCACCTCTGGATTATGTTATCCAATACGTAAAAACAAAACGCCATTTATTAATTGCATAAGGCGCAGTGACAGTTGACATTTGTTAGTTGTCACTGAAAGTGAAACTCCATTTTCACCTTTTCTCCTTTCCAAGTTTCCAACAACATGTTTATAGTTGGGAAGGAAGGAGATTTGGTAGCTAGCAAAAAAGGAGGGGCTTTTGATTCTTATCCACTACCAAATGGAAGTTCCTTTCTAAACCTTTTGCTTCTAATCCACTCAAGCATGCCAAGTGATATTGGTCATTAGTCCATGATTGTTGGAAAGAGATATGAATCCGCCATAATCGTACAGATTTCGCACAGGGAGGTCGATTAAGAGACTCGTTCGAGAGTAAAGATTTCTTAGTGTGAGTTTTGGTTTTTTCTTGTTTTCTTATTATCTTCTGCGTTTCGAGCATTATTGATGTTGTTTTCCTCTTCAAACTTTCGGTACCTTGAGTAGTTAAATTGTTGTATAGCTCTGGGTGATGGGTCGAACCCACCAACCAACTCAAAAGGTTGCATTTTGGTTGCAATTGTCACTAGAGACTACTAAATTTTATCTCCTTGACATTCTTTTGTGTATTTTCTTATAGAATCATTCGCACAACAATCTCTGTCTCTTTTAAGTTTTAATTCTTATTGGTTATTAAATCTCTAAACATAGTGTAGAATGAACATATTGGGCATGTAAATGGTAATGGATATAATTTAACAAAAAGAGAAACAAATTCTCAATTCTCCAAATTCCCAAACCTAAGGGAAACAACCCTTTTAGAATCCACTTATGTACCACTATTTAACCAAATTTTGAACCCGCACCCCTCAAAAACAACTAGAAAGAAAAAAAAAGTATAGATCCAAATTCCATAATCGTCCCTCAATTTTCCCACTACAACCAAAAAACCCTCTCAAATCTCAATCACGCAACTTTCCCACCCATCTCCAAATTCCCATTCCCTTGCCCCGCCTCCGCCTCCACGAACCTCGACCAGTACCAATGCGACCTCCACACCCTTCCCATCTCCTCGATCGGAATCCCCTTCGTCTCCGGCAAGAAAAAGTAGACGAAAATCGACATCGCCACGACGAAGAACGCGAAGAACAGGAACAACCCGAACTTCAAACGACACAACATCATCAGGAATATCTGCGCCACCGCGAACGTGAAGATCATGTTCACCGACACCGTCACGCTCTGCGCCGCCGACCGGATCTCCAACGGGAAGATCTCGCTCGGCACCAGCCACCCCAGCGGGCCCCACGACCACGCGAATCCGGCCACGTAGATGCAGATGAACATCACCACGATGATCGAGTACCACTTCGGCAGCTCCCCTGGGTCGCCGTCGACGCCGAATTTCGCCCCGATGCACGCCGCCACCACCGCCTGAAAAAAATTTCCCAAAATCATATCAAGTTCTAGTCCAATTTAATCCCAATTTCAACGAATTCGAGTTTGACCTAGTCGTAATACCATGATGCGGCGACGCGATGATAACAATTCGTATTACCTGACAAATCAACATCAGCCAAATCACAGCAAATTCTAGTCCAATTTAATCCCAATTCGACGAATTCGAGTTTGAGCTACTAGTAATACCGCGACGCGGCGCGATGATAACAATTCGTATTACTTGACAAAGTCACACATCGAACCAAAATAACAACAAAATTCTAGTCCAATTTAATCCCAATACAACGAATTCGAGTTTGACCTAGTGGTAATACCGCTACACGACGCGATGATAACAATTCGTACTACCTGACAAATTAACATCTGACCAAAATCATAGCAAAATTCTAGTCCAATTCTAGTCTCAATTCAACGAAATTCGAGTTAGACCTAGTGGTAATACTATGACACGACGCGATGATAACAATTCGTACTACCTGACAAATCAACATCACGACCAAAATCACAGCAAAATTCCAGTTCAATTGAATCTCAATTCAAACGAATTCGAGTTTAACCTAGTGGTCATACTGCGACGCGACGACGATAACAATTCGTATTACCTGACAAATTAACATCTGAACGCCACCTTCTAGGAAGAGAAACCTCCTCCCCCACTTATCAACACCATAGATGGACACCATGGTGGCACAGACATTGACGATCCCGGTGATCACCGCCGACATTAGGGAAGCGTCGGCGCCGAATCCGATGCTGTTGAACAGCACCGGCGCGTAGAACATGATGGCGTTGATTCCGGTGAGCTGCTGGAAGAAGGGGATGCAGACGGCCATGGCCAGGTGCGGCCGGTACTTCCTCTGGAGCAGATCGGTCCAGGGGTGCTCGACGAGCCTGGACTGCTCGGTGGCGGCGACGAGGTCGGAGAACTCGTCGTCGACGTCGTCGACGCCGCGGATGCGGCGGAGGGCGGACCGGGCCTCGTCGGCCCGGCCGCGCTCGATCATGGAGTTGGGGGTGTCGGGGAGGACGAGGGAGCCGACGGTGATGATGAGCGCCGGGACCATTGCGCCGCCGAGGCTGAGGCGCCAGCCCCAGCCGCCGGCGATCTTGTTGAAGAAGAAGTTGAGGACGTTGGCGACGAGGATGCCGACGGTGATCGAGAGCTGGAAGCCGATGTTCAGTGCTCCCCTGTATCTGTACGGCGCCATCTCCGACAAGTAGAGCGGCACCGACTGTATAATTTGTTGCTCATTATGAAGAAGAAGAAAAAAAAATTATCGTCAATTCGCTATTTAGTTTCAAGATTAAGTTAATTTGAGATGTGATTAAGCAACCTCAAATGATAATGTCTTAAGATAAATTTATTCAGTTCTTTCAAAATTCGGATAAAACTATAATTCCAAAATTGTACTTTACGTCAAAGTTCAGTTCATTACAGTGTATTATCCATATGACGTGGAAGTCACGTCGCAGCCAGCTCAACATTATATATCGAGTCACACACGTAATTTGTCTTTCAATCATAACAATCAACCTAAATTTCGGATCAAATTTAATTTTTCATTTCTTTCAAAAACACAAACAAAACTGTCTTATTTTAAATTACTGGATTTTTTAATTTAATGACTCAATTTTTGGGGTTTTTTTTCATAAATAGTGTAAGAGTAACAAAAGGTAACGCAATTCGCAATTATTTGGTGATTATTATTACCAAAAGATGAACCAATTATATTGGTCGCCAAAAAGAGGAAGAAAAAATCTTTCGATTTTTTTCCCCCTATTACCTGATTAGCGAAGCCGATGCCGAAACCGAGCAGAATCCGGCCGAGGATGAGCATCCAGACGGCCTTAGCGAAGCCGTTGACCAGGGCTCCGGCGAAGAAAAGAAGACCGCCGAAGAGCATGGAGAGCTTCCGGCCGAATACTCTGGTGACCGTACTGGCGACGATCGACGACAGCAGCGCCGCCAGGTACAGCGACGAGGTGAACATGGTCAGCGTCTGGCTGTCGTACTGGCAGTACTGGTTGACCGTCGCGTCGGCGTGCTTCTTCCGGTACACCGACGGAAAGAAATCCCGCAGGAACGAGTCCATCGACGTCACGCCACCTGTCCAATAAAAACCTGCCACGTCAGCATCGACTTTTTTAGCGACGGAATATTTTATTTCGTCGCCAATTATACCGTACCGGAGATTCCGATGTCGTAGCCGAAGATGAGGCCGCCCATGGCGGCGACGATGCAAGTGACGGTGACGAAAGGGGTGAGGTTCCCTGGGTACTCCTTACCGGAGCCACCGGGAGCGATTCCGGCCGCCGGCATTTTTCTTTTTTTTCTTTTGCCGAGAAGAGTTTGAAGTCGACGGAGGAGGAAGGAAAAGGGAGATAAGAAGGAAAATGAAAGTGGTAATAATGGCGTAGTGTATATATATTAAAGGAAAAATTGGGGCAAGCTCATAAAATTCTTTCCCTTTTTCTTGATACAGCTGTCGTGATTATTAATTTATCACTTATCCTCTTCTCTCTCTTTTTTTTCTTGGTAATGTTTGATTATGGTTTTCTGGATTTTATGGAGTTGTTTTATTTCAGTTTTTCTTAATTTTAATAATAATTTTTGGTCATTGTTAATCATATTTTTTATATCAGTTGGTTAATCGTAATTGTATAATCGGTTATAAGTTAATTTGTCGGTTTAGCAAGTAATCGTTTGTATTGGATGAGTTGTTGGTTATTTCGCTGTAAACATAACTATATGGACATTTTACATGCACAAAATTTCTGCAGAGGAAGATAAGAGACTTAAGTATTTTATTTCAGAAAGATATTTCTTGCCCAAATTACAGGAGTATTATTTATCCTGTGTCCCCTAAAAAAACAGCGTCCTTTTTTGCTAGCTGTTGCATTAAAACCCAACCAGAAGTCGGTGCTTACAAATGAATGTATCGGATAAAATTGTTACCTACATTATATTTATATAGGTGGACGGTGAGGAAAGCTGAGTCAGCCGAGCTTTTGGGGCCCACTCAGACTAATTAAGGTTTCAAGTTTTAACCTTATCGTCATTTGGATAACGTAACATTCGTTCGTTCCTTCAATATCGTGACTTCTCGTCGTTTTATTACATGCTTTTACATGTACGTATGTGTGGTGGGTGACTGGTGAGCCATAATTTTCGTGACACCATGATTTGCTACCGCTACCCACTAGATTTCAAGTTTTCCTATCTTTTCAAACCAACTTCGGAAACGAAAAACTGATTTATTTCCTTGCACCACCATACTATTGGTTCGGTTATCCTGTCTAATTGTATCGAGTTGTGTATGGTCAGTTACCAGCAGCTGGTTAACCGATAAGAAAACAGACGACCGAATAACTATTGAACTATTACCCACCCAGTGACTGATTCTGGTATATATCAACATATGGAAACTTGTTATCATTACTAATTGCGAGTAATGATGAGAACTCGAGAGTACTTCTGAAATCACGTTTTTTTTTTAAATACTGTGCTTCTTAAATCGTTGATGATTCTGTGATTAATTGCATGATGTGACCATATGGGGCACACATTTTGTTCTCATTTTTTCTGAGTCCCTAATGTACCTATATCTATAGCTAGAAGTCACCCCAAAGCCAAAAAGAATGGGTTAATTTGCAGCAAATATAAGGTGTTATTTGATTTTGGTATACCTTTCATTTATTTTTAACTTTAGCCAAGTATGCATATCTTAATTCTTGTTATCTTGTATATGTCTCATCTTACATATATCGTATAATTAGAGGCTCAAATTCTAAATATGTCAACATCATATATAGGCGGAGTGTGACTTAAGTGTTGCAACTCTACATATATTACAGATCGGGTTGTACGTGTAATTTTTTTATTTTTTTAAAGAAGAGATATGTGACATTATTTGTCACCAACAATGACGTTCACTAAGAAAAATGATGGAAAAGCCTGGAGAAGGCCGATTCCTCATACAAAAAACAAAATTATCAAGTCACTACTTACTAATTAGGTAGTAACTAGGTAAATACTATTCGACGGCAGACTCCTACTTTAGGTAGTAATTAGGTCAATTCTTGTACTTTAGTTTATCTCGTGGCTAATGGGTAAAATTACTAAAATAAATTATCTCTCGTTACTATCTATAATGACTGATTTTCTGTGGTTGCAGATGCACGCTTTTGCCCTTATCAGGAGGTTTTGGCTTGTAACTTTCACTTCCCGCGAGCAAGGTTGTCAAGCCGGTTTAAGTCATTGAGCCGGTTAAGTAAAGGGTTTGAATTTTAATGGTCTGATCGAGGGGGTCCGGTCAGGTTGAGCCGTTATAGACTTTTTCCTAAATATATATATACAAATAAGGTAGTAATTAAAGATTTATAATGACTGAAATGAAATTTATCTTATATGTATCTGTTAAAAACTTATTTTCCACAGCTTAAATCTAACTAACCCCCATGAGTCCATGACCCACCCACCATCTCCCTTCCTCCGTTCATCTTCCTCTCTTTCCCCTCTCTTCTTCTCCCTCTTTAGGGGTCAGATCGGACGGCTTTCTAGAGGCCGTTTTGAAGCCCAACTTAGGTCGAACCGTGTCCAAACTGGGAGTCCGATAGGGGTTTGACAACCTTGGTTCCGAGGCAAAATTTACAATGGTTGATGAACATGACTAGATAGACCCGGGAATGATCATATTTGATTTGTTTGTTTTTTCTTCATATGCATGGATTTATTATATGAATTTAATTAATAAAAAATTATTTAATTATTTATTTTATGAATTTGAAAGTTAAATGATGATATTATTTGTTGGATTCAAGTATAAACGTTTAAATATTGATGTTAAATGTTATTATTAAAAATAATTTCTGTTAAATGTTATTAATCATAAATATTTGTTATTTTATTTAGAATGTCGTATTTTGTTTAAATATGAATATGAATTGTAAGCAAATTATTTTCAAATATTTACAACCTTTATCTTTGTCCACCCCTAATTCCAGGCCAGTGTGGAGCAGTGGCGTACGTTTTCTTTCTTGTGCACGGCCTCTGTCTCTGCAAATGTATAGTTCGTTTAAGACAACCAATACATAGCAAGCAAACCTAGATTATGACATCTACTAAACAAGGAGTCGTATATTCGCTATGTAAAAAAAAAACAAAAAAAGTGGGAACAGTACAAATATTATTGAGCAATGCATGCATATTATAGAGCAATCATATAATTTGGAGCCACTGTTTTTGTCTAAAAATCTCGCGTATATATTAATACGGGTTAAAAGACACATTTGGTCACTGAGATTACAAAATCGGGACATGTTTAGTCACTAGAAAACGTTTATATCAAATTTTGTCACTACAATAACTAAAACCGGACACATTTAGTCACTCGCCGTTAGTCTCCGTCCAACTCCGTTAATGAAGTCCGTTAAGTGCTGATGTGGCAAACAGAATTGCCTAATCAGCCGGATATAACCCAACAAAAATAAAACCCGACCCGCCACGTCATTATAACCCGCCACGTCATAGATTTCGGGTTTTATTTTTGTTGGGTTATATCCGGCTGATTAGGCAATTCTGTTTGCCACATCAGCACTTAACGGACTTCATTAACGGAGTTGGACGGAGACTAACGGCGAGTGACTAAATGTGTCCGGTTTTAGTTATTGTAGTGACAAAATTTGATATAAACTTTTTCTAGTGACTAAACATGTCCCGATTTTGTAATCTCAGTGACCAAATGTGTCTTTAACCCATTTTTTGAAGAAAAGTTGGAAGGTATACCGAGGCAATCCTTGTCCAACATATTCCAGTCCCGAGTAGTCCCATAGGGCCCGAGCTACCGGACAGTCAAGGAACAAATGCCCCGTGGTTTCTTTATCGGCCTAGCAAAGTGGTTGGCAGGATGCGGTTAAAAAATTTGCCAGACAAATACTTTCAACTTGCGCGGGATATCAGCCTCCCAAAAACGAATCCAGCTGGCCATATCCATCCAGCTCGCCGTGGACCGCCAATGACCCCTCTGCTTATCCAAAAGGACTGCAAAATGATGGGCCGATTTAACGGGAAAAATCCCCTCAATCGTTTCATGACATATCAACTTATCCTCAACATTCTGTCTAGGAAGGGGAATAGTTTCGATAGCCTGACAAGTGTATGAATCAAACCACTGACTGAGTTTCAGATCGCACCTCCCCCCCCCCCCCCGATAAATAACCTCAGCTACCCGGGGGTCGCCTCCCCGCAGGCAACACCTGAGGATTATAAACTGGGGTATCGGGATGCATCCGCAGAATCCAATTTGGCTGAAAAAGAGAAACAGTCTAGCCATTACCAATTTGCCATCTTAATCCTAGGTCCAACAATTGCCAACCATAGAGGATACTCTGCCAACCCCAAGAAGGCCGAGAGCGAGCTTTAGCAGCGAGGACGATCCCCAATGGAAAATACTTGCATTTGTACACTTGGGATAACAGAGACTGTGGTTCATTAGGAATGCGCCAACTAATTTTGGCTAAGAGAGCTTGATTGAAATGCTCGAATCTTCTAAACCCATATCCCCTCATGCTTACTATGACACATATGACGCCAGGATAACCAACGATCCTCCGATGGCCCTCCTCCACACCCCACCAAAATATGGCCACATGTTTGTCCAACAGTTGGCACAGAGAGAGAGGTAGTTTAAAATAGGACATAATATGCAACGGCAAAGCTAAAGCGACTGATTTAATCAAGGTCTCTTTTGCGGCCCAAGACAAAGTCCTTTGCTTCCAACCTTGCAATCGTTCCAGCAGATTTTCCTCTAAATAGTGGAACGTAGCCAGTTTCGAACGAGCTATCAAAGTAGGTAAACCCATATACTTATCATGAACCCCTACCGCCCCAACACCCAGAATCTGAGCCAGAAACTCTTGGTCTGGCAGAGCAATATTCTTGCTAAAGCATACTGCCGATTTCACCAAGTTCACCCGTTGGCCGCTCAGCTCTTCATACTCATTTAACACCTCGATCAAATTCTCACATTCTTGAAGTGAACCCCGTAGGAATAAATAAGAATCACTTGCAAAAAACATATGAGAGATTCAAGGAGCGCGAGGGGCTACTTTCACTCCTTCAAGTTTTCCTTCCGTAATTGCTTTACTGAGGAGGGCCACAAACCCCTTTGTACAGATCACAAACAAGAGAGGAGAAAGAGGATCCCCTTACCGGAGTCCCCGAGAAGGCGAAAAGAAACCTGAAGGAGTGTCATTCATAAGGACTGAAAAAGATGTTGATCAGAGACATTCATGGATCCAATCCTTCCAGACAAAGTTAAAGCCTATTTTTTTCAGAACCGCTAGCAGAAAGGACCATTCGACTCTATCATAGGCCTTTTCCATATCAACCTTCAGAGCCATGTATCCTTTCTTACCACGAGTTTTGATTTTCAAATAGTGCATTAACTCATGCCCCGGAAGGATATTATCAACTATTTGTCTCTCACGGATGAAAGCATTCTGTCCTGGCGAGATGATCCGAGGCAGGGGACCAGCCAGCCTTTCAGCCATGATTTTAGTAATGATCTTGTACACAAACTGACAGAGGCCGATCGGACGTAGTTGCTTCATGTTCTCCACATTATCTACCTTTGGGATTAAGGTCAACCACGTGTGATTAAAGCTCCGGAGCATCCTACTCGATTAGATCTGCATTGGTCTCTAAGTTTTTTTTTTAAGTAAAAATCTTAGGGCTCACTATTTTGTTTCTTCACCCTTCGGGTAGCGACTTCATAGAAATTTTGAGTCTTGATTTATGTCAACTAATCGAAATCAAATGAAAGAGATTGAAGAATGCGGGAACTTATCGTAGGAAGAAACAAGTAATTTTAGAGATTTTTCGTAATGGAGCTTCAACTCCTCAAAGAACTTATCGAAAATTAACAATTTAAGCTATTGATTCATATAATGTTATGGAAATGGTTTTTTTACGAACTACGGAATCAATAGCTAGGCGTCCCAACTCCCACCAATCTGTATTGTATAATGTATAGAGCAAAATGGTCATAATGGCTTGTGCTATGAAAGAAGCCATGGATATGGAGTCAGTCAGTACATTCATCAACGATACTGACTAAATATTATTACTAACCATGCAGGCTTAAAAATGAGTTCTAATCATGTATTCATCCCCAATTCCTGACATTCAATATACATTATTTCGGAAATCATCATGTTGTTCTAGTGATCTCATGTAACTGATCCAATTATGTGAAAACCCATATCACAATTGCTAATTTGCTACAGACCAAAACACTGTATTCTAACATTTGCATCAATTCTAAGTTTTAACAAATCCCAATTACAAAAAACACATGATGTATTCTAAATTAAAGCTTGCCAAACGACCACTTAAAAAAGCCATATTCCTGTTCAAGTCCAATCCGGCAAAAACAAGGACAGACATGAAAGCAAATAATGCCAGAACAAAAGCATGCATCCTCACCAACTTTGGACCAACAAAACAGCCACTCCCTCTCCTTCAGCCAACGCAAAGCTAATGCGGCTGACCACCAGAAACAATGCCTGTATCCTGTCTGGTTCTGTGTATGCAGTATCCCCTTTCTCCAAATTCCCATCAACTTAGGAAGATAAATGTAGATAATAGTCATGGCCTGTATTTTCGGCGACACTCGCACGATGATGAGGATCGGGTCTTCTTTTATAGTAACCTGCAATGGAATCTTGGCTGGCTTGTTCGCAGTCATCCCGTGTTGATGAACTAGTTGATATGTTCTGATGCTAACTCTTGAGTTTCTTCTCTTCTTCTGGATTTCACTACTGGAAGAGTGTTCTTACAAGAAGCTCCACGAATGGATGGGAGTGGATTTCAGCCCTTTCCTGTAGCTGTTTGTAGCTTCATGACTTCATGGAACAACACCCTCCCAGCAGATTGACAAGATTAAGCAAATACTTGCCAAATGCTGTCTTCGAGGCCTTTCAAAACCATTCCTCGGAGCAAAGCTTGGTGAAGCATCCTCGCTCTGTTTTTACAAAAATAATTTACTAGCCTTTATTAGGCAAATAATATGAGGATTGACGACGGGGAAAGAGTAGAGAAATTATAAGAGTGAAAAGGAGAGAGAGAAAAATAAGAGTTACTAACTGATGATTTTCAAAGACTAGAGAAGGTGAGCACGGAGGGAGGAGCATCTCGTCTTGGCCCAGCAACTGTCCGATAAACATAAACCTTATCCGCCTTACAATCATCACTCCCTTCTTCCTTCATCACTTCAACGTTCAACCTTGGCATCTGTCTGGCCAAAGCCTTACAACCATCAACCGTCACATTACAAGCCGACATCCAAAGCGACCTCATTGACTCGTACCTCTCCAAACCGGAAAGCAATGCTGCATTCCCAAAAGGACAGTCCCTAATCTCCAACTTCTTCAACTTCGAACAACCCTCCATAACATACTGCATCCCGAGATCGCTGCTTCCGGCAAAGGCCACTGATAAAGCCTCCAAGTTCTTGGCGTACTCGCCTATGTACTTGAATGTGAGATCGGTGAGGAGACCCGAGATGGAGAGTCGCTTTAGCTTCTTGCAGGTTTTTACGACAGCGCCGAAGGCCTCGTCCATTGGTTGGTTTGTGGTGTGGTCTGGTTGGCCTGGGTTCATGATGCAGAGGCGGAAATGGGTGAAGTCTGGGCAGTTGCGGACCACGGTGGCCACTGCTGCGTTTGTCATTTGGCGGCAGAAGTAGAGGATGTAGTGGAGCTTGGGGCAGCCCTGGGAGACCGCAACTATGCCTGACTCAGTGACCGTATGGAGCATGTCCTCATCGAAAGGATCAGTTGGGAACACGCGGATTTCTTCGAGTGATGGGCAGTTGGCTCCCACTGCTTCAAGACCTCTGTCTCCCACTGAGTCCAGTACCTGCGTTTGAACATCAACCATAAAATTATTAGTTCAGTGATAACAGGGAGTGAACACTGAGATGAACTATATTAGATTGCATAATAAAACAAGAAGACTAGAGTTGCCATTCTGCGTTACCAAACCAAATGCTGATAACAGCTTAAGGAACAATCCCTGGTTATCAAACCAAACATGGTGAAATACATTGTAATATGCATACTTGTTTGCTATCAAAATGGTTGACCAATGTCACGCTAACGATTCCTGCTTTACCAGACAACCCCTAGTGAAATGCAATGTTCTATGCCTACAGAAAACTAAGGGAGAGACCAGGAGGCCAAAGGGTCTTTCATAGTACTCACCCAAAGGCGACGAAGACATGGGCAGTGAGGAAGAAGACTAGCAAGCTCCTGACTCTGCAAAGCGGTGTAGCTTAAGTTCAAAAAACTCAGCCCAGAGCAAGCAGGGTAAACAGCGGATAGATTCAGTGCCGTTGCATCCCAAAACCCAGAAAGAACAGTTAGATTCTTGCAGAAACCGAAAGCATGTTTGAGCTCCGCATGCTGCTGCGGAGTGAGCTCTTGGGAGAAAGAACCAACGCCCAGTTCAGTCAACTGAGGCGCAGAAGTGAGCAACCTGTGCAGGCAATCTAAGGAGCTACTCCTGTTCAGTTTCAAAACCTTTAATGATCTACACCTGCTCACGAGCCTCTCGAGCACCTCGGTGTTGACATCGGTGATCAGGTTGGAGAAGTTCAGAACTTCCAATGTGCTGAAGTTATCAGGAAAGCAGCTCAGCCATTCCCCACTCAAGTCCTCTATCCCGTTCTCTTGTATATCCAGCTCAATCAGATTCCTGTGAAAAGCAAAAGCAAGAGGGAAAACCCATCTCAGGAAATTGAAATTTGATCCATTATCAATGATCGATTGATCCAGGATGCATCACATTGGGTACTCAACTCGGCACTAAGATGACTACAACATCAAATTCCACCTAATAAATAACTAATGAAACAGATCAGATCTGGAATCGCAACTAACGTAGCAGAGCTCAGATCTGGAATTGAAACGGGAATCAGCAGAATCGACTGTGTCTTACTTGCAATGAGTAGCGACGGTGGCGAGTCCGCTGGTGCTGAATCCGTCGCAGCTCAAGAGAGACAGAGCTCTGAAATTAGGAAAGTTGAGCGCCAAGAACTCCAAGCTCCCATCGGTAACCCTCATTCTCTTCAGCCTCAGCTCCTCGAGGAACGGAGACCCGGAGGCGAAGACCAGGAGCCAGGAGTGGACGTCGGCGCCCCAGTTGTCGGGGACGAGATTGAAGTCGGAGAACCGCGGCTTCCCCTTGAGCGTGACGCTCCGGATCCTGGGGAACCGGCGGGCGACGATCTCCGGCGAGACGGAGTAGCAGTTCCCGATGAAGACGTGGCGGCGAGACCAGCTGTCGGCGGTGTACCAGTCCTTGCAGACTAGGGAAACGGCGTTGCGGTCCTTGGGAGACTTGAGCAGGGTGAGGACTCGCTCGAGGACCTCGTCGGGGAAGCGAGTCGACTCAGCAGCCGGGATGCTCTGCTTCGGGGTGAGATCCATGGCGGAGATCCCCCGCCGTGGGGAGGAAGATGGGAAATGCGGAGGAGGAGAGATTTCGAGTCAAAGCTTTCTCTCTCTGTTTTTTTCTTGGTGAAGTCTCTCACTTTCTCTTCTGCAGGTGAAGAGGATAAGTGGGGAGGGTGGATGATGGGCTAAAGAGCAAAGGGCCAAATGTGATGTCTGGAGAAATTTCCTTTTTTTTTCTTAGTAACCAACAAAAAGTATAATTATTGGTATCTACATGAAAAATGGAGATTGGATGAATAGGTAAAGAAATGGGCATGTATTGTGAAAACGTACCGTATTGGCGGTTTAACTATAAAATTTTAGTATTAGAGGCAAAAATGGTAGGCGGTATTTAACGATATTGTAGTTGAACTATAGTTAAACCACGATTTTACCATAAAATATTCTACCGTTGACTTTCCCGTTACGGTTTCATGGACCATGGAAATGAGAAGAAGAGAAAGGGCCAAATAGGGATCACAACGAATCGGATCGGTGCGGATAGTGTAATACCTTATTCCAAATAATTTGAGTTTTATTCATATTTATATACACATAAGAATAAGGTGGAATGTCTATTTTTTATCCAAATCTTTTTTTGGATTCTTTTTTATTAGTTAAATCTTTCGAAATACTAAGAATTAACCAAATATTAACTTTCAGTTAACAATTTTGTTAGTAATATTGACTTGTCAACATGATAATGACTTGAAAGAGACACTTGAAAGTCAATATTCCGAAATTTTAGAATTTTAACTTAGAAAAAAGAAGAAGACACTAACACTTGGATAAAAAAAAAAAAAAAAAGGAAGACAGCCTACCAACCACATCGATTCAACAAAGATATTGAGTAAATATATTATTATTAATCATCCATGGTTAGAAAATAGCTCCAAGTTCTAACATCTAGTGTCTATAATAAAATAAAATAAAATAAAAACCCCATGCTCGCCAGCAGGGGACACCATGGATAGGTTACCACATGGCCGGCCATGTTATCCAAAGAAGAACGAAAACATAATTTACCCCTTTCTTTCCCCTCCCCAAATTTCAATGGACGATATGAAAAAACTAAAAGCCATATCATCCCTGTTCAAGTCCAATCCGGCAGACATGAAAGCAAAATAATGTACAACAAAGAGCCGAGCAGCAGCAGCAGCAGCAGGGTTTGTGTTTTCTGGTGAGAAAGGGAGGGAGACTGACACTTCACATCCCCACCATACCCGCCATTTCATGGCTCATTCTTTGCCAACGCCTTTGCACCTAACAAAGCAGAGCCACCTTCTCCTCCAGCCAGCCACCCAGCTCCCCAAACTAATCTCCAACCAACCAAACGCGGCTTCCCACCAGAAACCATGTTTGTGGTTGCAATTCATGGTTATAGCCATGGCCTGTATTTGGTGACACTCCCACGAGGCCACGACGACGACGACGATGATGATGGGTCTGCATTTTACCTTAGGCAGCAACTGGATCGCGGCTAGCGAGGATGTGGGTTGCTTCTCTTCTTCTGGATTTCAATGCTAGAACAGAGATACAACAAGATGCACAAGACCTGGCTCGCAATGCCATGGCGTGGTTACTTGATGGGATTTCAGCCCTGTTTTGTCCCTAGTTGGTAGCTTCCTGACTTTCATGGAGTTGCCGCCAAAACCATTTTAAGAAGAGAGAAGAGTACTAACTGATGATGAAATTGTCATAGGCTGGAGACGGTGAGCACAGAAGGAGGAGCATCCCGCCTTGGCCCGGCAACCGTCCGGTAAACATAGACCTTATCCGCCTTACAATCATCACTCCCTTCTTCCTTCATCACTTCCACGTTCAACCTCGGCATCTCCCTGGCCAAGACCCTGCACCCATTCACAGTGGCGGATACATGCATGGTTAGGGGTGTCCCGGGACACCCCCTAAAATTTGGAAACACGATTATTCAATCTACGATAGTAATTTGTGTATGAGAAAAAAAAATATTTAAGTGGTAGTGAGACACCTTTAAAATTTGGGAAAATGATTATCCAATCTCCCGTAGTAGTTTGAGTATTGGTATAAATAATATTTAAGTAGTAGTTTATGTGATTTAAATTTGGGACACTGCCACTATTAGTTAATATATTTTCAATTACGCTACAACTCATTTGTTATTGTGTTTTAGATCCAAATATAATAGTAAAATATTATTCTTATCTCAAATTATTTTCAAAACCTAACGATTAAACTCAATTACGGGATATCCTAGTCTAGTAAGATATGTCGAGAGATATTTGTTGAGCAGTATAAACACCGAATGCATTTTATCATTTGATGAAACACGTCTGAACTTTTAATGAAACTTTATTAGTTAGATATTTTCATATTTAATAATTATTTAATTTAATTCTAATATTTAATATAATTTTTTATAGAGGACACCCCTACGTAAAATTCCTGGATCCGCCACTGCCCATTCATCGTCACGTTGCAAGCCGACATCCAGAGCGACCTCATCGAACTCGTACTTCTCCAAACCGGAGAGCAGCGCCGCATTGCCAAACGGGCAGTCCCGAATCTCCAGCTTCCTCAGCTTCGAACAGCCCCTCCATGACGTACTGCATCCCGAGATCGCTGCTTCCCGCAAAGGCCACGGACAGCGTCTCCATGTTCTTGGCGTACTCGCCTATGTACTTGAACGTGAGGTCGGTGAGGAGACCCGAGATGGAGAGTCGCTTTAGCTTCTTGCAGGTTTTTACGACAGCGCCGAAGGCCTCGTCCATTGGTTGGTTGGTGGTGTGGTCCGGTTGGCCCGGGCTCATGATGCAGAGGCGGAAATGGGTGAAGTCCGGGCAGTTTCGGACCACGGTGGCCACCGCGGCGTTTGTCATCTGGCGGCAGAAGTAGAGGATGTAGTGCAGCTTGGGGCAGCCCTGAGAGATTGCGACGATGCCTGACTCGGTGACTGCGTTGGCCATGTCCTCGTCGAAAGGGTCGGCGGGGAAGACGCGGATTTCTTCGAGTAAAGAGCAGTTGGCTCCCACTGCTTCCAGGCCTTTGTCTCCCACTGAATCCAGGACCTGAGTAGGGAAGTCGGGCGAATAAGTTTTTAGTTTCAATATGGACAGATGGAATGATGCTCCAGAAGAACACTATGTTACTATTGTCAAGAACCAGTTGATCCCAATAACTCGAGTTGTTGGGAGAGATTCAATCGTGGATCATATACCACAACACTAACACGCCCCCTCAAACGAAAGCCACTCACAAGAGCTTGAAGTTTGCACAGGTCTGAAGACAAGAATACCATGTGCTTAACAAATGGGGGTCACCGGGAATCGAACACAAGACCTTTCGGTCACAAAAGACTCTGATACCATGTCAAGAACCAGTTGATCCCAATAACTCGAGTTATTGGAAGAGGTTCAATCGTGGATCATATACCACAACACTAACAACTATAATGAATTGTGGACGACAAATGCAAAAAGGGTGTGTGATAGTAGTACTCACCCAGAGGCGGCGAAGACAAGGGCAGCGAGGAAGAAGACTAGCAAGCTCTTGACTCTGCAATGCAGCATAGCTCAAGTTCAAAAAAGTCAGCCCCGAGCAATTCGGGTAAACAGCCGTGAGATTCACTGCCGTCGCTTCCCACAACCCAGACAGCACGCTCAGTTTGTTGCAGAGACCGAAAGCAAGTGCGAGCTTCACATACTGCTGCGTCGTGAGCTCCTGGGAGAAAGATCCAGCGCCCAGCTCGGTCAACTGCGGCGCAGCGACGAGCAACCTCTGCAGGCAATCCAACGAGATACTCCGGTTCACCTTCAAAACCTTCAGCGATCTACACCTGCTCACGAGCTTCTCCAGCACCTCAGGGTTCACATCGGTGTTCAGGTTGGCGAAGTTCAGAACTTCCAATGTGTTGAAGTTGTCAGGAAAGCAGCCCAGCCATTCCCCACTCGTGTCCTCGATCCCGTTCTCTTGTACGTCCAGCTCAGTCAGATTCCTGAGAAAAAAGCAAAAGCAACAACCCAACTCAGCAAATTGAAAATTTGATTCGTAATCATATGATTAATTCATCCGGAATGCATCACATTGGATAACTAAACTCTGTAACAAGACAATTAAAAAAGATCGAATATTCCTATCTCTACATCTTATACAGTGATCACCCAAATTGGTGCTTTTGTCACCAGAGTAGCAGAAGAGCTGCAGGAATCGTCTTGGCAGGGAACCCAATTATGACGGAACTGTAATTATTTCACATGTATTAAGCCATAATGACGAATGATAGCATTATTATAGCTACTATCAGGGCAACAATGGTTTTTCTTCAAAAGAGAGGGAGGAAGCTTTTTTTTTTAGATATTTGTGAAGAGAATGACATCAAGTACAGAAAAAGGTTTTCTTCTCTCTCGACATTTTCCCGGAAAATTGAACGAAGCGAAGAATCGCAAAATTAACGAAGCAGAGCAGCTCAGATCTGGAATTGAAATCGGGTTGGAGCTTACTTGCAATGTGCGGCGACGGCGGCGAGTCCGGCGGTGCTGAATCCGTCGCAGCTGTGGAGAGACAGAGCTTTGAAATTAGGGAAGTTGAGAGCCAGAAACTCCAAGCTCTCGTCGGTGACCCTCATTCTCTTGAGCCGGAGCTCCTGAAGAAAGGGATACTCGGAGGCGAAGAGCAGGAGCCAGGGGCGGACGTTGGCGCCCCAGTTGTCCGGGACGAGGTTGAAGTCGGAGAATCTGGGCTTCCCCTTGAGCGTGACGCTCCGGATCCTGGGGAAGCGGCGGGCGACGATCTCCGGGGAGACGGAGTAGCAGTTCCCGATGAAGACGTGGCGGCGGGATCAGCTCTCGGCGGTGTACCAGTCCTTGCAGACGAGGGAGACGGCGCTGCGGTCCTTGGGGGACTCGAGCAGGGCCAGGACCCGCTCCAGGACCTCGTCGGGGAAGAGGGTCGGTTCGTCGGAGGAGATGCTCCGCTGCTGCTTTGGGCTCCGATCCATGGCGGAGATCACCCGCCGATGGAGGGGAAATGGTGAGAGAGAGAGAGAGATTCGGAGTCAGAGCTTTCTCGCTCTGTGTGTGGGATAGGCGAAAGAGAAAGAGGATGAGTGGGAGGCTGTGAGCTGAATGTTAGTCTTGTGGTATATGATCCACAATTGAACATCTCTCAATAAGTCGAGTTATTGGGATCAACTGGTTCTTGACATGGTATCAGAGCCTTCTGTCACCGAGAGGTCTTGTGTTCGATTCCCGATGATCCCATTTGTTAAACACATGGTATTCTTGTCTTCAGACCTGCCCTTGTGATAGGCTTTCGTTTGAATTACTTACTTAGTTCAGTTGTGGATTAATTGTTGATTTCCTGATAAATCTTGAACTATATCCTTAATTTCGTCGGCGAGTAGGTGCGGAGTAGATAGGGATGGCATATTGGCAATCACACCCATGAGAAGAGATGACAATCAAATTCATCCTGTTACTGATTGAGTTAATGCGGTAAATTCTCGTATTGATTGGACATGAGATAAAACTCGAAAAAAGTTTGATGGGTATGTGACGAGTATGGTTTTAGCCTCTCCATCCCATATTTATATCAGTCCCATCAAAAATATTTCTTCACATTTAAAAAATATATGTATCAAATTGTTAACATATCAATAATAGTGTAAGAAAATAAATAATAGAAATATAATTGAATGACCACCCAAATCAAAATCAAACTCTTTTCCCTCATTTCTGGCTCCATTCTTTCACTTGTCCCTCTTGTTAACAAGATAATTAAGTTAGTTAATGTTTGAGTCTATCTGAGTGTAGGAGTGAGACTCAGTAGGTGGGTGGTAGAAGAATGGGCAAGTGAATCTCTAAGAGTTATGAGGGGGAAGAGGTTGAGAGAAAACGATTCTTAGAGAGATAAGTCGTTGTATTATGTGAGAGAATCCAGAGAGAAGTCCCCCCACCTACCATAGTAAATGCTCTATTTATAGTACATTGTAGTAAGTGAGTATTTAATGCGACAAGACTCCTGCATGTGTCAGATACATAGACCATGCTTTAGGCCATAATTCTACCTAGGATTAGGACGTGACTTCTCTTCCATAGGGTACGGCGCCGTTCCACTTGGCTCCTTCTCTCAGTGCAAGTTGGACAAGACGATGACGGTTCAGGATAGGGTGAAACGATGCCGGTTTACACTCCGTTTGCTCGCGGGCTTGTATGCGCTCGCGGAAGTCTCTCGGTTGTTCTGCTCGCGCGGCGGGGTCTGAGCCACATCCCCAACAATTGCCCCCCATCAGGGGGTATTCTGTGAATGCCGCCTGTTTTAGTCCTGTTCGTATGACCCGGTTGTTCGCACTTCTCACTCGCTCTTCCGCGTCTCCAATAGTTTTGCGCGTCATAGCTTTGGTTTTCTTGGCTTCCTCCTATACCGTGACTGTGGCTCGTGCTAGCGGATGTATGTCTGTGCGTCTGTTGTTGTCACGCGTGTCAGGTTGGTCTTGCGCGCTCTTTGCTCGTTTTACTGCGCCTTCAGTATCCTTGTGCGGGATATTTTGGTTTTCTTGGCTTCCTCCTATACCGTGACTGTGGCTCGAGCTGGCGGATGTATGTCTGTGCGTCTGTTGTTGTCACGCGCGTCAGGTTGGTCTTGCGCGCTCTTTGCTCGTTTTACTGCGCCTTCAGTATCCTTGTGCGGGATATTTTGGTTTTTCTCGTTTATTTTTTGGGTTCCGCGGGTACCCCATGCCCCCCAGGCGGTGTGCGTACCTATGACGTCACCGACTAGCCCTATGATTCGTAGGTGATGATGTGGCGCTCTGACGTCCACTCGTTTGGGCGGTGGCTTTTGAAATTCAAACGTTACTGACGTTTCCGATTCCCAATGTGCTTTGGACTCTTCGATTACCTCTGTGTGGGTTATAATTACCCTCCTTTTTCACTGAGAGGATTTACTCTTTTCCTCATTTGTGCTTTCTCTTCCATCGTTGTTCTCTGTCGAAGAAATTCCTCTCTGTCTCTAACGACCCCAATTCTCGATATTGTTCGCAATATTTCTTCAACAGCACGATGGCCAGTGGCGATGTGAATCGTGAGATTGAGGTTGCGGCGGGCGACGAAGGTAATCTTTCTCCTTTATCTCGTGTATCTTCCGATCAATCGTTGGCTCTGGACGAGTCCGGCCACAATCGCGGCGGCGGAGCAGATGGCGGCGATGTTCCGGCGACACCGTCGTTCGACGGCGATTCTGGACGGGATCTGGTGTATGGCTTCTCCGACGCCGGTGAGGCGAGCCGTGGTGAGGCAACCTCTCGTGCGCGGGGGGTACTAATAATCAGGCGTGACCCCGCAAGTGGATCTGGCGCCGCTCCTGCTGACGCGGCGGAGGCGTCGGAGACTTCATCGGAGCCGGTTTGCTTGTCTCGCGTCACGGACGCAATGAGTCATCTCGGGATGCGCGGAGTAGGGGCCGATTACACCATCCTGGATTGGGAGGACATGTTTGACGCGGGACAGGTCCCGTGCGATAGTTTGGTGCGCGGACCGGACCACGTGTCTGTGTACGGGCGGAGGGAGGTAACTGACCTAGTGCGCGGGTTAGGGTTGGCCCCCAACTGGCAGTACGCAGTTCTTTCCAAGCGGAGCAGAATTGGTAATTGCCCCCCAGGTTGGTTCGGCGTCTACTCGGAGTATTGGCGGATGGATTTCAAATTCCCCATCGACCCCTTGATGTGCGCTCTGTACCGGCGTGTAGGCTGCTCTATCGCGCGGTTCTCCCCATCCGTCATAATGCACGCCTCTTGTCTCCGCCTCGTTTGCAAGAGGTTGAAGATTGAGCCCACTTATGGGCTTTTTCGAAAAATTTACAAGTTGAGGGGGCCCACGGAGACAAGCGACTGTCTCTCGATTAGGCGGCGAGACAAGCGGCCCGAGGGGTATGTGTATGGATCCCCGAAGTTGGAGAAGGACTGGTTCGAGCGGTTCTTCTTCGTGAAGCCTACTCCGGGTGAATGGTCCATGGAGTTCGTCGAAGAGCCCACTACTTGGAAGAAGGGGAGTGTGCGCAACTTTGAGTCCGAGTTGGGCAAATACGATGGGCTCGACAATGAGTATGAGACTTGCATGCCTCATAGGATAAATTTATACTCGGCTTGTCTGGAGGAGCTTTTTGCTGACGGTTAGTTATGTTTCTTTTGTTCTTGCATTCTGTCATATTAACGGCCGCCTTACGACTTATTGGCGCAGGTGTTGATTTCTCGTCACTGGCAAGCATGATGTCGGTGGACGATGTGGTGAAGCCTCCGCGTGCCGCGCGTGGTGAGAATAAGAGGAGGAAAGAGGCCGCCCGTGCTGGCGGTACCAAAAGGAAGGACGTTGAAGTCGTTCCTGCTGCGGAGAGGCCCAAGAGAACCGCGCGGGTTAATGAGGAGCCATCTCCATTTGTGCAGCCTTCACCAGCAGTGCAGCCGTCGCCGCTGACGGTCGTGGAGCCCGCGAGCCAGGCGGGCGAGGCTGTAGATCAGGGCACGCAAGCGAGTAGACCCCCCCCCCCCCCCCCCCCGCGCGGATAAGGGAATGGTCGCCGGTGCATCTGGGGCGACCGTTCAACAAACATTGCCGGGGATGACCGCCATCAATTACTATCGTGATGTGCGGTTTCATACCGGCGCGGCGTGTAATTCTACCGCCGCTCATGAAGCTCTTCGGGCGTTCGGGCCAGTCCTTAGTGTTCCCCCACGACTGGAGAAGTCCGACCCGTTACGAGACCTGGCCTAGGTCCATTTTGCTGTAAGTTTGGGGCGGGTTTCTTGTACTTGGTTTTGTTTGTGTTATTGAATTTCGTTTAAGTCTTCTTGCGCTGTTGGTATAGGGTTTGATGTAAGTGGGTATTTAATGCGACAAGACCCCTGCATGTGTCAGATACATAGACCATGCTTTAGGCCATAATTCTACCTAGGACTAGGACGTGACTTCTCTTCCATAGGGTACGACGCCGTTCCACTTGGTTCCTTCTCTCAGTGCAAGTTGGACAAGACGATGACGGTTCAGGACAGGGTGAAACGATGCCGGTTTACACTCCGTTTGCTCGCGGGCATGTCTGCGCTCGCGGAAGTCTCTCGGTTGTTCTGCTCGCGCGGCGGGGTCTGAGCCACATCCCCAACAGTTAATTATTACTCAGTATATGTATCATAGTTAGAGAATAATAATATTATCCTATATCTTATGGATTAATAGATGTTATATGATCATATGATTTGAACCGTATTAAAAATGATAGTATCTTTCTTGACTTATTGTTATAGTAGGTTCGCTTAGTGTTATAATTTAAAATTAATATGTAAATTCTTAAGTATAATAATGTAAAATGTAGGGGGAAAGTATTATCCACGGGTATGGTGATGAGTTTGCAAAATCTTTCCCGCATGAGTATGGGACGAGTACAAGTTTGTATATTCAAAAACGGGAATGAGGATGGTTTAGACAAACCGGTCACAAACCTATCCCATTGCCATTGCTACCCATGTTTGTGGTACCCGACTGCCCCCAACCCAATCAATGAGGGTATTCTAACTTTTCCTTTTAAGTACTTATCCAACTCATTCCTATTCAATTCCGCTTGATATTCTAACTTCCGACTTATCGACTTGAGCTCCGATATCTGGTTGGACTACCGATATGATATGGTTTCACAAATACTACTAAATTTTCCATTTCAACATTCAATTTGGCTCAAAATCTTTTTTTTTCTACTAATTTATTTTATTTTATGAATGGCTAGTTATTATATATTGTATATATGTGAGGAACATGGAAGATTTATACCTTTTTATCAAGAAGGAGAAAATTGGTTCTGATGGGTTATCAGGATCCTTAACCATACCAAACCACTTAAACCGAATCAACTAAGAATATTAACCAAACTAATTTAACCCAATGCTATAGAGTAAGACGGTTAGGATGATTTTGTCATCCTTGAACTGTCATACTCTCAATTGAATATCAATTTGCTTTCCAGATTTAGTTGGTTGGACTGGATTGTCACTATTTATCTAACATGTTCCACAATTCTGCTTCTCCTACCCAATAGTCCATCAATTCAGGGACCTAATTATCAGTCCTTTGAGTATGATTGATTTGAGTCCTTAGCTGACTTATTTATTTGATATATGAACTCTTCCTTCAATTCAAATGGTTAACTGTCAAAAAAAAAAAATTCAAATGGTTAATTATATGCTAAATTCTTTTTAACTGTCCATTAAAAAATTTCATGAGGATCAGCGGGACAAAATTAAAGACAGTAATCAATTTCTTGATACGAGAGAGACCATTCCAACGATCAAGTTCTACAAGTAAACACTTGATAATTACACAGCACATCGAGATGAGGGCGATATAAGCAATTAAGAAGAGGTCTATGGTGATTTTTGTCTACGCATCTACTCGTCGACTACTCATAAACTGAAACCCTTATAAAAACTTGAATAATTCTCAACTACGTTGAATAACTTAACACGAATTTGAAAATTGTTTACGAGATTTGTTGTTTGAGGTCGAGATCTCTTTAGGAACACAAGAGATCAAAGTTTAAGATGGAGAATTAGAGATTGATTGCTGGATACTGGCTCAGTTTGGCCTTGCTGTAGGTTTTGTAGAAGCAGCTTCTGACTTGAGCTTTTAGAGAAGTACTTTTCAAAAAAAAAAAAAACAGTTGAGTGTTTGGCTGAAAAACTATTATAAGTGCTTTTAAATATTAGAGGTTGTGTAAAATGACTATAAAGGTCTTATAATATAAGCTATGAATAATAATTTTAAACAATAAAATGTAGTCAAAATGGATCTTATTAGACTTCTTTTATATTAAATAATCTGATTTTAAAATTTATTTTATTTTTAAAATGATATAAATGAAAGAAAATTAAAATATGGTAAGGATAATCTTGTATTTTCAAAACAGCTTTTCGCAGATGTTATACAAAAGCGCTTTTCGGCTTTTCAAAACCCGACCTTTTAGATGTGTTTGGCCCTGCTTAAACTTTTGGACCCGAAAAGCACTTTTAAAAGCCGGACCAAACATAGGGACTGTTAGGGTTATACGGCGCCTGATATTGAACAAAACCTCAGATATACTTTAGATTTTTTCCCCCTACAAACCATTGACCAAAAGATCAGTGACAAGTTGGTAAAAGACGTTCCATTCTCAAACATGTTGAATAACTTAACACGAATTTCATGGCTCCTGTACTAAAAACTTATAACCTCGCGTAAAAGACGTTTATTAAATATAAAAACTTCTATTAAAGTATATTATTAGACACACCACTAGTTCAAAAAATTAAAGTAAAATATTTATAAGTACTTTATACATAACTTATCGGTACCATATTTTACTAATGTGATACGCTCTAACTTTGTTTCTCAAAGTTGATATCTTGTTGGGCTTAATAAGTATATGGAAAAGGACCTGACGAGTGACGAGTCTCGAGAACAAACTGGCAAAGCTTCGGTCCAATACATATCCACTATCCAATAGGCCGCTACAGAAGCCCAAAACTTAACGATGTTATGTCCACTCAAGAAACATCCTTTGTTGCCATTAGTTTAGCAAGCCTGCTGGAACTCCTTCCGTTGATGAATTGCTAAAGGGTTCCGATTTGTGTTTACGATGATGAGTTCCCACTCCACGATCAAGTCATTTATTGCTAGTCGTTAAATCTTTTTTGTATTACAGTATAATACTTCTAAATTGTTCAGGATTTTTACAATGTAGCTAGTGTTTGGGACTTTTTGGGACGAGAGTGTACATACAGTGGCGTAGTCAGGAATTTTGTTAAAGTGGGTCGAACAACGATACAGATCATTGTGAACGGTTAGCATCAAACGGCAGTCGACGAGCTCAGATGTTGGGGAACGCTATCATGTCATAGGTGGCGTTTTTCGAGAAACAAGATGAGGTTTTTTTGTCGTTAAATAGATGGTGAATACGCTAGGGAACGATGAGCGGCAAGCGGACAAACCGAGCAGCTAGCAGTTGACGGCTAACAGGATTATTATTGAGGTTGTGACTTGTGGGAATTCCAAAATCGTAGTATGTGAATAGAAGACAATAGATTGGTGATGATTTGAGGGAGATCGTATTAGGAATTGTGATAAGTTATTAAAGACAGGTGTAGTCGTGTTTCTTGGTTTGTTGTAAAAGATATTAATGAATAAAGAGATTAGATGTTAAAGCATAAAATGACTTGAAACTTAACAATGTTAATACGTTATAGTGAAAGGGAGGTTGGTAGTTCGATAACCCTTATAACAGTGATATAGGTTTCCTTTGTTTGTAGTTAGATACAACTTAAGAACTATTCGATAATATTTGTATGTGTGTTGAGTCAAGGTGGTGCAGCCGACCCACCTTGGTCCAACGTGGCTCCGCCACTGTGTACATACAAAAAGAATATTTCCACTCTCCATAAAAATCTTGGGTTACAGGAAATTCCCCCTGAGGATAAAACTATCACCACTTTAGGTTCTAGACTCAAGAACACTAAAGCATACTTAGAAATTTTCGGAAGAACGTAGAAGAATATGTTTGATGGTATGTGGCTTCATCCACCCCACACATATATTTATAGAGGATGAATCCATGCATCGTGTCATGATAGGTTGCCTTTATCCATTATGAAAGGTTGTCTTTATGACTTTATCAATACGAATTAGAATATTGATTTGGTCGGTCTAATCCCAAACCGATTGATCGGTCCAACTCAAAACCGCTTTGACTTGATTAGTCCAATTCAACCAAATTTCCAACAACTAGTTACACAGAATCAATCACTTCTATGGTTGATTGACCTCCTAAGCCCATATCAAGTTTCTTAGTAGATTGATATTAAAGGCCTCGATTAAATCTTTTCGGTAAATAGAGATTTGTCCAAATGTTGGTGGAGACAAATACGTGCTATATTAAAATATGTTTATCGATTTATGTCGATAAAAGAAAATACGAGATACGATGAAATTAAGTCACAAAACTCAAACATCTTGGATAGAAACAATTTTTATCTGTCGGTTCACCTAACTCAACTGATAAACGTGAGTGTGTCATTGTTTCCTAACCGAAATAATTTTCTAATCAGTCTGGTCAAAGGTTCAAAATTTCGGTTGTCTAGATTGTTGAATGGTGACTCAAATGGAGAACCAAATCCAGTCCTCATAGTCATAGGAGGAGGGCTTACTGAGAGTTTATACATGGCAACGCTGGAATGGCAAAAATGGAAAACAAAATCTAGAAAGTAGAAACCAGTAAATGCAGAGAGGAAGCAAACCAACAAAAACCATGACAAACGTGGGGAAGGTTACTGCTCCCTGCAGCTTCTGCCTACTGGCCGCTGCATTACCCATTAATCGCTTCCGCGACTGAAAACGCTTCTTCCCCTTTGACTACTTCATCTTCTTCAAATTCCAAGGGAAGAACCCTCCTTCCTCTTTTTCCCCCTCCCTAATCCATTCCGCTCACGGTTTCGCGGGCTGCCAACAGAGTGGCGGAAAAGGAAGAAGAAGAAGAAGAAGGTCAAATTTGTTCAGCTACCAGTCTCTGTAATTTCCCTCATTTTCCCAATTCACAGACGAAGTTTTCCATTGCTGTGTTTCCCGTAGAATTTCTCCCCTCCTCAATTTGTCGGTTTTCCCCTGACCCCATTTTCGGTTTCGCATTGCTGTAAGAAAAAGTTTGCTGCTTTGCAATTTGCAAACCTTCATGGCCCTGAGAGCTGCGGAGTCCATCTGGGTCGGCGGCCTGTTCAACCCTCGTCCTGATTCACTCGGGTCGCATGCGAGACCCGGGTTCGTTGCTGTGGGTCGTGATTCGGGGCCGGATAGGCTGTTTGGGAATTGGCAATGCTGTTTGTCGGTGGTTCGGGCTCAGAAAAGTGTCACTCCGGTCGACGATGAGAAGCCGCTGACCCCTGAAGCGGCGAAACCTGTTGGGGTAACAACTCATGGCGACAAGGAGATTGTGTCCAAGGGATTTCACAGGGACATCAACTTTCTTCCCAGTAAGTTTTTCTCATCGCTGGTGTCTTGGGGTGTGTCAAATTTTGATGAGATGTTGAGTTAGATTCTGGTATTTTGAGTTGTGTGACCAATTGACTAAAGAGTCTTTCATAGTAGAGAACTGCTGGGGTTCTGCATTGCTGGTGGAACCATGAGCTTTTGTGAAAAGGGACCTTTTAGAAAGCTAAAAAAATTCAGATGGCAGCCAATGTGGATGAGTTTCCCCCCCAAAAAGTGGGCAAGTCTTTATAGTGGATGACTTGACATGTATTCTAAATGTGTGAGATTCTATGGGATGATCAGGAACATAATATGCTGATGAGTGCAATTTCAGTTGAGCTAGATTTGTGACGATTCTGGTCTTAATGATTGTCACTATATTCATAATTGGTTTTGAGAAGTTGGAGATCTTTCCTGTTTATGCTAAGAAAGGTTTTGTTTGAGGCTTCAATAAATGCTAATCGATCGATCCTCTTCTGTCGTTTGTCGTGATGTATATAGAACCGTTAAGTGTAACGGAAGATTCATCCTCCACTTATGATGGCAGAAAAGTGAGGGTTGCATATCAGGTTAGTGCTTAACCACTTTTTTCCTTGCACTATTAAATTTCGTAAGAGTTTTAAGATTGACCTTTTTCTGCCATCTTTCAGGGGATTCCAGGTGCATATAGTGAAGCTGCTGCACTTAAGGCTTACCCGGGTAGTGAAACAGTACCATGTGATCAGTTTGAAGCTGCCTTCAAGGTTATAAACATCACCAATGCCTGTTTCTCACCTTTGATTATTTAGTCTATGTATCAACATAAACATGTTATTCCTTTTTATCCAAATTGAATAGGCAGTAGAACTCTGGTTAGTGGACAAAGCAGTCCTCCCCATTGAGAACTCAGTTGGTGGGAGCATCCATCGTAATTATGACTTGCTCCTTCGCCATAGGCTTCATATAGTAGGAGAGGTACAGCTGGAAGTTAATCATTGCCTCTTGGCATTGCCCGGTGTAAGGAAGGAGGAGCTCAAACGTGTGCTTAGCCACCCCCAAGTGAGTCATTAATAATATCATTATTGGTTTTTGGTGTTGATGTTGATGTTCCAAGTAATTTGTTAGTTAATTACCGCTATCTTCTATTAGGGTACGTTTTTAGCTCATCCAGCTGTCTTTTCTTGTCAGTTTTGATACAGTTAACAATGCTTTTAGAGAAACGTTTACTGGTGAAGCCTTGTAAATAGCTCTCTGCAAAATGTCTAGATTCTGTTATTTAATTCTGGCTTAGTAAAGTATCTTAAGGTTCTGGAAGCTAAACATTTGGGGTAAATACCCCAGCGAAAAATGATACATTTGATGGTAGCTTGTCGTGCAATCTAACAACATGGGACAATACATGATGGTGCAACTCTGTTGTTATTTGCAGGCACTCGCTCAGTGTGAGATGACATTGAGCAGCTTAAATATTATTAGAGTCAATGCTGATGATACTGCTGGTTCTGCTCAGGTTATGTCCAGAATCATCCTTTTAATAACATTTGAACATTTTATAGATACTTGTTGGCTAACATAGAATAATTGGTTAACAGTTTGTAGCTGCAAGTGGCCAAAGAGACACTGGCGCAGTTGCTAGTGCTCGAGCAGCTGAGATCTATGGTCTTGATATTGTAGCTGAGAATGTTCAGGTGAGCATTGTGGTCTCTTTTCTTTCACTCAATTTTAGGTATGTGCATAAAAAGAAATTGATTCTAATTATTAGCACTGATTATTGTTTGAAAATTTTAGTTGCAATACAATTCAGAAGTAAGTTTTTCTTAATGATCATTAGCCGCTGATGTCTAAATTCCCCCATCTCACCGTAATGAGAAAGCAATGTGTCTTTTATTTCTTCCATCCTACTTGTTGAAGTTTTTGGAAGTTTGCTATTCTCATGCTATTACTGAATACTCTGGGAAGAAAAATCTGAATTTTGCTTCCAGGCTTGTAAGAAAAGATAATAACTTTATTTTCCAACTACATTTATTAGGACGATGCTGACAACATTACTCGCTTCCTTATACTTGCGAGAGAACCTATCATTGCAGGGAACGGCAAGCCATATAGGGTAATTAATTACCATTAACTCCTGCTTGTTCTTTCATTTGCATATCAAGGAAATATTGTATATCTATCATTCAGTAATCTGTATTCACTTTGTCTTTGTTGTTCAATGTCTTTTCTAGACGAGCATTGTTTTCACCCTTGAAGAAGGTCCAGGTGTGCTGTTCAAAGCACTGTCCGTGTTTGCTATGAGGGGCATCAGCTTGACAAAGGTGAGAGCTTTTATATTCCATCGTAAAATTGAAAAATCACTGTCTGCTTCTATCCATCATCTACCACTCTTGTGACAAACTTGCAGATAGAGAGTCGGCCACAGCGAAAGCGCCCAATGAGAGTGGTTGATGATTCTAACAAGGGCAGTGCCAGGTGAGTATTGAAACAGAGGTCTATTCAGAATACTATTGAGGATGTTAAAAACAAGAACAAAAAAAACATAATACATTTATGCTTTAGGGAAAGTTGAGTTGGAAAATTTGAGATATGGGTGAAGTTTCCACAGGGTACAAAAATCTCTGTGTCTTCCAGAATCGTAGGAAGTATTGAAATTTTATGTTTGCCAATTGTGTATGTGTGTGAATGTGCAGGTACTTTGACTACCTCTTTTACATAGACTTCGCAGCTTCCATGGCAGAAGAACGTGCTCAGCGTGCTCTCGGAAACCTAGAGGCGAGGGTCCTTTCTCACCACCTCTTTTGTCTCCATGAAGATATAAGTCTTATTGAACTTCCGCCATCAGTTGTCTTTCAAACAATATGTTAGTTCTGGTTTTGTTTTTTGTTGTTGATCTGTTGTTGTGCCGGCTGTTTCTGCAGGAGTTTGCTCGATTTCTCCGAGTTCTTGGTAGCTATCCAATGGATACCATTCGATAAGACAGCCTGCGGTGGGTTATATTTGAATAGCAAGACGGAAAGGAATGCAGTTGGCGGCGTATGTTGTACAGACTGATATAGAGAATAGGGAAGGCGCCATCCATGCATTGCTGATGGTTGCTGACTTTGCTGTAAAGGAGCTGGCGTTTTTTGCATACCTGCTTTCTTCTTCATTCATATTTCTTCTTGTTCTTGGAGGGATTCTGTTACTCTTTGCATTGTTTACTAGAAGGATTGGTGGCTGGGAACGTTTTATAGCTTTTATAGCTTCTGGAGCATGTGTTCCTTTTATAGCTTCTAAGGTGATGTTGGGGACTGAGAACGTTTGAACTTGAGTTAGATTCCTGCAGTTTCCCTTATTTATCAAAGCTATGAACTTCCATTTTTCCTACATGAAGACTTGATACTTGAAAGCGGCTAATGAATGCTCAATTGATAATAATAATAGGCTAAATATCTCATTTGGTCAATGAGATTACTAAAATAGTGTCATGTTTAGTCACTAGAAAAATTTAATATCAATTTTGGTCACTCGAATTACTGTAACAGGTCCCATTTAGTCACTCTTCCGTTAGTTTCTATCCAACTTCATAAATGGAGTTGGACGGAAACTAATGGGAGAGTGACTAAATGTGACATGTTTTAGAAATTCGAGTGACGTAATGTGATGTGTTTTAGTAATTCGAGTGACGAGAGTTGGATGGAGGCTAACGAGAGAGTGACTAAATGTGACATGTTTCAGTAATTCGAGTGACCAAAATTGATATTAAATTTTTCTAGTGACTAAACATGACACGATTTAGTAATCTTTGTGATCAAATGTGGTATTTACCCGATAATAGCTAGGTCACTTCACCCGATAATAGCTAGGTCACTTCACGTAGCAACCTTAACATGCCACACCCTACTTCACAAAGCGGGTGTCCGTAATTAGAGCAAGCAACAACATTTATTAATCGAGTATTGTGTACTAAAACCGTGGTGAGCTATTTCATAGCAATAAAAACCACCTATAGATAACATTACAGTCTGCTCTCACTTCACAAGATCATCCAAACCACTTATTCATACTACTACAACTAGCAATACAGAGTTACATAATTCCGCAGTCCATAGCTCAACAATCTCCCTTCTCACTGCAATTCCTTCAGGAAATCTTCATTGTCAACCAACACCTACAAAACCAATAGCCAAAGGCGTCACCAGAAATGAATATAGAACATCTAATTCATCAGAGCGAGATAGCTGATGAAGCAAAAGGCGGATCGTTTCAATGGACTCATGAGATGCTACAAGGAAACTTAACAGTTTTCCAGCCATCAGGGTCCAGAAACGAAGTAATCTTGGTGTTGATCCCCGGAATGGGTCCTGGTTGTCGAGTAATCTTCCCGCCGCCAACTTCTTGGATAACATGGTTCACAACCTCGGCGCTTTTGTAGACATCGTCGGTGCCAATAGCAACCTGAGCATATGCATTCCCCTTGGTGTATTCAGTCACACCATAGTTGTAAGTCAGCTCCAAGACGGTGGTCTTATCCTCATCGGCATAACCCATCATGGCCAGTGTGTACTGTTGAAAGCAAAAGAGAAAACACATCAGAGGCCTGCAAAGCAAAAAAGGAATACACTTTCATTGTAGTCACTGAAGAAACAAAAAAACCTCTCACCTTGTATTCAGGCCTATCAATAGTCCTCAACATCTTCATTCCCAATGCCTACGATAAAACATTCAAGAACCAAAACTATCGAATTAGGAACCAAAGAAGAACCCTAAATTGAAGAAGAGCATTTTCTTACCTTCTCGTAGAACTTAATGGCACGATCCAGGTCGCCAACACGAAGCATAACTTGGCAGAGAGGCTCGGGGGTCGGGCCTCTCTGGATGAGCTCGAACATGTAACCATCAGGATCCTTCACGAAGGCAATGACACTCTTCCCGCCTTTCACTGGACCTGGGTCCCTGGTCACACTGCCTCCCTTAGCCCGGACGTTCTCCACCAGCTTGTAAACCTATGTTCAGGGCGAGCAACGGACCGGATCATTTCGAGATGTAGCACACCCAAATGAAGAATCAGAAAGTTCACAGTCATGTGTTATGCTTACATCTTCGGTGGCAATGGCAAAGTGCCCAAATCCAGTCCCAATATCATAGGAGCTCACACCATAATCTGAAGTAAGCAAGCTAAGGAAAATTAGGTTCTTCTTCAATTCAAACCGAATGAAGATGCAGGGGAGAAGAGAAAGGACTATCTTACTGTAAGTCAATTCGACGACGAAGTGCGAGTCCTCGGGGCCGAATCCGAGAAAGGCGTTGGAGTATTTCTCCTCGGGGATGTCTCGCTTCCTAAGCAGCTTCATCCCTAGGCCTTCAGTGTAGAACCTACAGTTCAGAAATCAATAATCAATCGGAGGACGAAAAAAAAATTTGAGAAGGCGCGGCGACGATGGAGAGCTTTACTGAATGGTGCGATCGAGGTCGCCGACGCGATAGACGGCGTGGAGCATCCGGCGCTTGTCCTTCTTCGGAAACTCCAGCAACTCGGCGCTCGGGGCAACTGGTGCGGCCGCGGATTCCGCCATTGTCAAAGAACCCTAGCGAAACTTACAGAGAAAATGGAGTGGGGAAGAAGAAGAAGAAGCTGGAGCAGTGAGGTCTTTGTTTTGAAATTTTGATCATCCTTTTTGGTCTGTCACTGTGTATATAATTAATTTAATTTATATTTTAGTACTGTGAGGCTGCAGCCAGCGTGACAGCCTGTGAGCTGGGTGACCGTTGTTTCGTCGTCGTGGATGAATCTCCGCCGCTGATCGACGGCTGAGTTTGCACGCGCGCATTTTGACGATTGCTTTGCCGTTTTAGTCACGTGGTGGACAGAAAACGGGTCCACGACATCATCATAGTACAAAATAAGTGGCCTAACGGAGATCCCTCCGGCCTCCACCCACCTCTTTCGACTATTTTCGAGCTTCCTTTGTTTTTCGTATTCCGTTTGGTCACGGAGATCATGCTGTAACGGCAGAGATCAGACTATGAAAGCTAGAGGTGGCAAATGGATTGGATTGGTGGATTGGTGGATTGGATTGGTGGATCCATGGATCAAATGGATTGGATCTAATGGATTGGTGGATTCATGGATTGGATCAAGTGGATTGGTGGATTATCCATGAATCCAAATGACATCCTCAACCAAGGACCAATATGTAAAATGTAAAAAGTTTAGGTACTAAAATGTCACAATGAAAAATTTTAGGTACCAAAATGTAATTTTCCAATGAGAATTTTCGTATAAAAATTAAATTTTAGGTACCAAAATGTAAAAAATAAAAATTATAGGTACTAAACCGTAATTTGCCAATGATCCATGGATCCAATCCATGAATCCACCAATCCAATTGGATTTGGATCAAATGGATTGGATTTAAATGGATTGGATTAGATGGATATTTTTAATGGATTGATGGATTGGATTGGTGGATTGGATTGAAATTGCCACCTCTAATGAAAGCCATCACAATTCACAAGGACACCAACACTACACTACACTACACATATCTCGGGTACACCAAGGGGTTGTCGGGTCATCGTCGACGACGGTAGTCGAGGATTGGACTGCAACAACGGGAGGGCTCATTCGAGACGACTCTTGGAAGATGTAAGGGAGCTTTCATAAGCAATCTGGGAGTGTGTTCAATTACTTGCGCAAAAACTCAAAGGCGCATCTGAAGGTCCGAAACTTGTTTTTGGCTAGGGGATATTTGAAACTGCAGCTTAAATCTTGATTCCAAGACGAGTATATCTTGATAACCATCGACATTGTCTCTTGGAAAAACATATTAAGATGCTACTTAGCATAAATTGGGAAGTGAAAGCCTTCCATGTATGTGTATAGAGAGAGTATTTTTGCAGCTGATTACTTGCCTGATAAAAGGCACAATTCTCCACACATCTCTTTGATGTAAGTGATCCAAAAAATTTGTATAGACACCCGTACGATATTTATATGAATTTTCCACGATGATTTAATCATGCAATGATTTAATCAATGCAATTTCATAGCATTTGTCTTCTGAAAAAATATAAATAGTTGAAAGAAGATTTCTTAGTCTTAGGGGGGCAAATTTAGGCGGTGTGTTTGTAGGCCTATACAATTATTGTGGGCCGTATGATGATAGGGCCCATTGTCCGTTCCATTCGTCGGCTGGGCTAACTTATTTCCTTTCCTTCACCATTTGGCTTCCTCCTCTTTCTAGCAATTAGCAAAGTTATAAATGGCAAGTAAAGGGAAAGTTCCAACCACTAGCAAATTGCAAATTTGATTTTTAGTTACGTCTCCTACTTGACCAATACTTTATAGCTTAATTATTGAGAACGGGAGGGGGAATTAATTAAATAGTCAAAAGCAGAAGCTGCGGTTTCGTCGTGATTTCTGACCCGCTTATGATTTGCATTTGGACCTTAATTCCGTCCTTGTTCACTTTCCTTAATAATGACTTCATTAGTGGCTGCCTGCCCTTTTCTGATTTCCCCCTTATTAAATCTAAACCACTCGTAAATTAAACATTTAACAAATGAATTAGTGGTTAATGATCCTATTTAAAAGAATTAATTAGTGATAACGACGGAGCATTTCACTCTCTTCAAACCATCGAAGAGCCGTGTGAGTCTGGCCGGCGCTGTAATACAGACAAAATAGACTAGAGTCCACCAGTAGCGGTGGGCAAATGGACTGTGTTCTCCGCCGTACGGTGAATTTAGATAGAAAAATTGGTTTTCAGCCTTGTTATAAGAACCGAACCGGATCAACGGCCGGGCCAGTAGAATCATCAAACCAGTTTCGATAGCGGTCCGGTTCATTGTTTGAACGGTTATTGATGGACCAAACGGTTTTTCACGGTTCAACATAAAATCAGATGAACCGACACGGTTTAACTGGTCCATTGGTTCACTATTTTAACAAAAAAAAAAATATTTTAACATAAACTAAGACCATCAAATCATAATTATTAATTTTATATATGCTTCCTCAACCTTATTGTCGATTTTACATTGTCTACTACCAACTAGAACCGTAATTTTTAATTTGAATTAAAAAATGTGGTTTCTTTTGTGAGATGGTTGGAATGATTTATTAGATATTTTCGTGATGATATGAATTAGAACTTGTTTATGGTCAATGATAATTTCATTCTTAAATTAGTGTAATATACAAGTCTTATATGTTATATATCATTAACGATTCTATTAACGGTTCACCAACGGTTTTGTAACGATTAACCAGTGAACCCTTAAACCACTAACTTTTCCGGTTCAGCCTCCGGTCCGGTTATGAAAACAGAGGTTTTCAAGTGAATTTTAAAATAAAAATGAATTAATAAGTTAAAATAAAGCTGGGGTTTATGGGTGGGGGTGCCATGCGAACGGGCCCACCGTACCAGGGCCACAGATGAAGCCCATTGGAGAAGAGGCCTCCGGAAGTCAATTTCCTCGGGCGGGCCCATAGATTCCCATATGTGGTTCCAATTTCGACCGCCAAAGTACATCATAAATAGGGAGAGAAACAAAACAATGTAGTCCATCCATAATATTTCTCTAAATCCTTTCTCTTTTTGGATGAGTATCACAGATTCACAGTAAATAGAAAATACATAAAAAGGGAAGACAATTCAAAATGGAAGAAAATTGATAATCTTATTCTATTTAACATGTAATCAGAGTGTGAAATGTTAATGAAATTAAAGTAGAATAATTTCGATATCGAAATATGCAGAGCGGATGAGATTGCGCTAGAATTAAAAAAGTTAAACTCATTTTCTTCTTCTTCAATTTAAATATTACTAGATATGAAATGTAAAGACGATTCAAGATATAATATGTGAATTAAGATATATTGCATTTATCGGGAATGTAACTGATCTGCTACCGACCACCTTACTTACTCTCCATCTCCCATTTCATTTGGATTGTAATCCAACCCCTTAGTATTTGAATAAAAATAGGATTTCATACTGAATATTATTCCCAAAATGATTAATAATACATGTTAGATAGGGATGACAAAAATATCCGTAATCGTGGATATCCACCCGAATCCGGCCTAATCGGGTTGGGTAAAATCCGAACCCGAAAGACATTTAGTGGGTACGGGAAAACCCGAACCCGAATATTGTGGGTAATGGGTGGGCATGGATTTCTCACTATCCAACCCGAACCCGCCGGATTATACAAATGGATATGTATTTTCTCTAGATATAATCATTATTTTTCTCTAACATATTTTATATTTAGCATATAAGTATAATATTTTCATGAAATTGTTTTGTTTTAATTAATTTTCTTCATTCTAGTGAATTATTGTCGTACTTTTCCTCTTACGTAATGTGATAATTCGTGTGAATGTTAACATATTGGTTGAAGTTATGAAGAGAAATGATTACCCATGGATAACCGTGGATACCCGAAACCCGAATGGGTATGGGCATGGTTTTGATTTTCTACCCGTTTCACATGTGGGTATGGGTATGGGTAAAACCCGAACTGCTTTGCGTAGGGTAACGAATATGCACTATCCGCCCCCGACCCGACCCATTGTCATCCCTAATGTTAGAGGGTTTTTTTTTTTGTGCACTTTTCTAAAAGATTGAACAAAATTTAATTGTTAAAGCATCGTTTAATTTTCTTTAATTATATGGAGAGAAAAAAAAAGGCAAACATTGATCATGGTCTAGACTCTAGGGCTTGGCTTGTGCCGTATCCAAGAAACCTCCTCTTCCTTCGCCTAAATTCTCGCACATGCTGCCAGGTAAGCAAAATGTCCCAAACCACTTGTGACGAAAGCAATGATGAGCGTTCTCCCTACACCCAATGAAAATCCGCCACGTAACCAACCGGCCTAGCCCAGGAAAAAATAGCGTCCAGATTCAATGAACCATGAAATCCGATACATTTCGCCTTTCACCATCTCTTATTATTTAACGGTACTTCCCTTCCACTACCGAATCTAAAACCGGCGACCGCAAAAAAATTAGAGCAACCAAACAATCCCAATTTTCCTTCTCTGAATTCATTTTCCGGGGAAAGTGCAGACGGAAAAACCAAACCATCAGCGAGAAAGCCATCCCGCCGGGCCGCAAGAACCAACACAGAGAGAGTCGTTTTTGTCACTCATTGCACAAAACTCACCATGGCTTTCGTCGCGACCTCTTCTTCCACCACCGCAATTTCGGCTTCGAATCTCGCTCGCTCCACTGCTTCTTCTTCCTCCTCCGAGGCCAATGGTACGTTCGTGATCAAATTTACAATCCAATTTCTTGTTGATATCGTGCTTTTGGTATTTGCTCGATTGAGTTTGCGTTAATCGATTTTCTCCCCCTGTTTTTGTTTAGCTCCTCGAATTGGCTCGTTCCGATTGTTGGATCGTTCCGCAGCCGTTGCCGTCAACCTATCTTCTTCTCGTAAGCGCTCCTCCGCTGTAAGGCCGGTGAATGCTGAGCCGAAGCGTAACGATGGAATCGTTCCTCTCGCCACCGCCGTCGCCGCACCCGGTAAGAATCCGACCTTTTCTTCGCGTTGTTTTTAATAGGCTTGGTCTTCGATTTCATCATCGCTGAATCGTCGTTGTATTTTTCGCAGTAGTGGCGGAGAAATTGGAGGCGGAGGCGGAGGCGGAAGACTACGAGCAGCTAGCCAAGCAGCTCGAGAACGCTTCTCCCTTGCAAATTATGGACAAGGCTCTCGAGAAATTCGGCGACGATATTGCAATCGCTTTCAGGTAAAGATCCGAATCGAATCCCTAACGATAGCAAGTTTCGAATTCAATCGTTAGGTCTTAGTTATTTTCCCCCAATCCTGTTTCCTTCCCTGCACTTTCCGTTTGCGTGTGTGTGAAGTGAGAATATGTCGGATGTATAATTCTGGGGTTTAGATTTGAAAGCCTAAATTGGACCAATATCTTCAACATTGGAAGGATTAGAGCTTCGCTAATGGTGATCTGCTGCTTGTTGTTGTTCTTGTTTTATGCAGTGGCGCAGAAGATGTAGCCTTGATTGAATACGCCAAGCTAACAGGGCGCCCATTCAGGGTATTCAGCTTGGACACCGGCAGATTAAACCCAGAGACGTACCAATTCTTCGACGCAGTAGAGAAGCACTACGGAATCCGGATCGAGTACATGTTCCCCGACGCAGTGGAAGTGCAGGCACTAGTTCGCAGCAAAGGCCTGTTCTCATTCTACGAGGACGGCCACCAAGAGTGCTGCCGGGTCCGGAAAGTCAGACCTCTACGCCGAGCTCTGAAGGGTCTCCGCGCTTGGATCACGGGCCAGAGAAAGGACCAGTCGCCTGGAACCCGGTCCGAGATCCCAGTCGTGCAAGTGGACCCTGTTTTCGAAGGACTTGAAGGTGGAGCAGGCAGCTTGGTCAAGTGGAACCCGATGGCCAACGTCGACGGTGGAGATGTCTGGAAGTTCCTCCGCGCAATGGAGGTGCCTGTCAACTCTCTGCACGCCCAGGGGTACGTGTCGATCGGTTGCGAGCCCTGCACGCGAGCAGTCCTCCCTGGGCAGCACGAGAGGGAAGGGAGATGGTGGTGGGAGGATGCCAAGGCCAAAGAGTGCGGCCTCCACAAGGGGAACTTGAAACAGGACGCTGATCAAGAAGTGACAGTCAACGGAACTGGAACCCGCGACTTGTTCGAGGCGAGGAACCTGGTGGCATTGAGCAGGAACGGGATCGAGAACTTGTTGAAGCTGGAGAAGAGGGAAGAGCCGTGGATCGTCGTGCTGTACGCTCCCTGGTGCCAGTTCTGCCAGGGGATGGAGAGCTCGTACGTCGAGTTGGCGGAGAAATTGGCGGGGAGTGGAGTGAAGGTTGGGAAGTTTCAGGCGGATGGCGAGCAGAAGGAGTTCGCGAAGCAGGAGCTGCAGCTGGGGAGCTTCCCGACGATCCTTTTCTTCCCCAAACATTCTTCGAGGCCGATCAAGTATCCTTCGGAGCAGAGGGATGTTGATTCGCTGATGGCGTTCGTGTCCGCTTTGAGGTAATCTGGGTTTTGGAAGCTGGAAGTTCTGGTTTGTCTGTGAATGCATGAAGGTCGTTTGAAGATGGGAATAATGGGAGTGAGAGAGCTTCATGGGAGCAGAACTTAGTTGTTTGCTTCATGTTATATTTGGATGGTAGTTTTGTTAGCAGGAGTAGTTGCCTAGTTGTATCCTGTGTTTAGCTTTCTTTGATTTCTGTCTGTATAGAAGGGATCGGGGAGATGGAGTCGATAGTCGCCTGAAAGAGCAAAATTTTGGGTTTATAGGATAGATGAACAGTGGGGGCGTAATTGTTGTCGTTCTAACGGAATGTGTTTCGCCGTCGTGGTCGGTATTTGTAATGGAGATTAGAGATTTGAAGTGGGCAAATCTGTTAAACGGATCGGGTCGCATTCGCTGTTGGAGTCGCCATCAATCGTACTTGGAGTGGATATAACATTCTTTGGTCGGCTCTAACCTTAGGGTCAGAATCGAGACTTGGTCGATGGAATAGAAATTTAGGTTCGGAAATATGGTTACGGGTGTGGAAGTGAAATCACACCCCACATGCGGGAAGGAATGATGAGGATCCAGTGCAACATCTGAAGATTTTCTTAGAGATCATTGCAACTGTTTCAGATAATGAAGTCACCAAAAATGTTATTCGATTGCGAGTGTTTCCTTTCTCATTGGTCGAGAAAGCGAAACAGTGGCTCGACTACCATCCACCAAAAATCTTCACCACATGGGAGGGTCTGTATCAAGCTTTCATAGAATAATTTCTTTTCACCATGGAGGACGAACGAATTTAAAGACGCCATCTCTCAATTTCAACAGAAAGATGGAGAGACATTCTATGATGTTTGGAGGAGATTCCATGGACATCTAAAGGCGTGCAATAATCATTGATTTCACACGAGTATACAGGAGATAGCTAAGTACTTTGTCTAAGGATTGGACAGAGATACCACAATGCTGGTAAATCAATATGTCGATGGCGATTTCACTCAAATGATAGGTAAATGTCGCCAATTTAGCAAGGAAGTCAAAGAACCGATCTAAAAAAATCGATCCTTGTACCATTGAAATCAGTCCAAAGTCCAAACAAATGATGGTGTTGTCGTCACTCTCCATGAGCAGATGAAGGAGCTGTAATAATTTAGCTATAACTAGCATATAACAACTATGGCTACTTTTTGTATTCATGAACGAGCCCACGAATTAGTCTAGCCACAACTAATAATACAAAGCTACACTCAAGTCGTGGCCAGATGTGTACAACAAGACTACATAAGTCGATGGATTGCCTGGGGCGTTTAGAAGTTCAATAGTATGGTCCGAGGAAAGATAATCTGAGGATCTAGCTGCAAGTTCTAGCTAGGAATAGGGCTATTATGTAAAGGTTATTTACTTTGTGTACTTAATACTAAACCTGTATACGCCTTGCTACGAGTAGAATACAGTATAAATATTCCTTCCGTAAGTAAACTCTCAGATTAGGGAAACTGAACTAGCTTTGCATTGCCTGCTGAATGTAAAATAAAGCATATCCAAAAGAGAGACTCCAACGTACTCTAACCATTCACCAAGAAAAATGCAGGAAAAGGTGGTGCAAAGTGAGAAAAGGAGTCAAAACTGTCTATTGTATGGCCAAAATTCCGTGCAACATCAGTTTGTTAACACAAACGTTCTGTCAGAAGTTACACCCATTGAGATTTCCCATATGAGAAAGGATAGGTGGTTTCAAGCTTCCCAACAATTTGTACACGTTTAGCTCCAAAAAAAGTTTTCGTGATCTTCCCCCCTGCTACCAAAAACCTGCATTCATCAAAACCGAACCTACATTACTTCCAAGAGAACCGGAAAAAGGAGCGAACAATGAGCTGGTGGGCCGATGAGTTTATATTAACAAGCAATCCAGATCGAAGAATCTACGACAAGACTCGGTTTGGAAACTGGATATACCTAATCATCTTTCCAAGAACAAAACCAGAGAAGTTCTTCAAACAAAAGAAAAATGCAGATAAACCAAAAGCCTTTTTGACAAATGGTGGAAAAGGGAGAACTATCATTTTGTGTGACTAAGATTGAGGTGATGTACGTTCTCCAACGGACTAGCTGTATATCTCACCTGCCAGTTATCCCAAGGATCGCTATTGGAACATCTTCTTGTACTGGTTTTTCTCTACCTCGTTCCTCTGATTAATCTGCAACAAAAATCGAGTGTCTTAAGGAATCCGCTCAAATCCATTAGCAGTTGATGCACGAGATGAATGGATTAAGCTTGACACCAACCTTTTTCTTAGCAGCCAGCAGCTCCTTTCGTATTCCAGCTGGGAGCAACGGTACCCAAGTTAGTCATATACACAATTTCGACATACTATAACACATAATCACTGCAGAAAAGCTGTGCAAGAGAAACAAAATATTCATGCAATGGGGGCAGAGGCATGCATTTCTCTAGGTGTCATTTACCATCATTGGGTTCCAACTGCGATGCCTTCGTGAAGCTTTCAGCAGCAGCATCTATATCATTGAGAGCCATGTATGCCTACATGATACAAGAGAAAGAACAGCAATTTATGAACAACAAAGTTCTGGATCGAACAACAAATCTTTCATTTACTGTAATAATCACAGGACAGAAGTTGCCAACCTGTCCCTGGCGAAATAGAGCTTTCACATTGTTTTCTCCCTCGCGCATAGCGAAATCTGTGTCCAGCAATGCTCCTTTAATATCCCCCATTTTCAACTTACAAGCCTGCATCAATATGAACAAACAAGTCAATATATGAGAGAAAAGCTCTTGTGAAATGCTCCTTTAACTGCAGCATCTAAGCACTCACAGAGCTGTTAGTGAAGATTTGAGATTTCGTCCTCCTCAATGCTGAACTCTTCCCTGAAAATTTGGTCCACAAGTAATTCAGGGAATGTGCCGCTTAAATGTATTAACTCGTAAAACAGGAGATTCAAAACATAAGACAACAACTGTGGTAAGGAAAAGAGTATGAACCTTCATCAATCCCTTCTTTCTCCCAGCAGATATCCAGATAACGCAAAGCCTTCCTATACTTCCTAAGAGCCATCTTATAGTCTTGTTTCTGCAACAGCTTACTAGTGTCAGAGACAAAAGTACTCTTTCATTCAAATAAGCCAAAAATGCATAACATTACCAAGAAACATGTTTACCTTGAAGTGGTCGTTGCCAAAAGACTTTATAGCATCCACAGCATCCATCCACCAAGTAAGCTCCTCAGGGCTCTCATTAAGGTCAACTGGCCAGTCGGGATACTCATCCCCATCATTGAAGAAGTTGGTTATCCCATCATCTTCTCCTTCAGGAATCTCTCCACATTCAGCTATGGTAACATCGAGAGTCGGAATATCACCTTCAGCAGTAGGAACATGCTCAACCGACCTAACAACTCCCATTCCTTTCACAATCCTGCCAAACACAACATGCTTCCCATCCAGATGAGAAGTGCGAGTGGTGGTGATGAAGAATTGTGAACCGTTTGTATTGGGTCCAGAATTTGCCATGGATAACATTCCTTTCCTCTCGTGTTTCAGTTCGAAATTTTCATCCTCGAACTTCAACCCATAAATAGATTCCCCCCCAGTTCCATCCCCTGCAGAGATGTCTCCTCCTTGCGCCATGAACCCTTTAATGACCCGATGAAACCGGCATCCCTACAGTAACAACCAAGAGCAAACATAGCTAAAGTAAACCTCTTACTTCCTCCAATGAAAACCTTATATGAGAGTATCATCCCAAAACAAATAGAGTGGTGCTGGAACCAAACAGCTGAGACATAGCCGCATACAAAACAACCAAGCACCACAGTTACTTCCCTCTACTAAGAAGGTCTTACCGCTCAAAGAAAACCACACAACCGCGAAGTTCAGAGTCATTGCATCTCTAGCATAGCTACTTCCTCAGAGCCTCATTACACTAACATAGTAATGTCTAAACAGCATAACGAATCACATCTCAGGAACTCCCTTGGACTGCATATCCAGCCAACCCAACTCGTCTCAACAAAGAAGAGTTGGGAAAGGAAAAGACCTAAAAGCATACCCACTCAAACTTGATCATCAGGAATGGACATTAATGACAAGAACCAGTAGTCCTGAAACCAGAAAGCCTGCCACATAACCTACATTTCCCTCATAAACACACACCTCTGAAAGAAGAACAGACCAATCAGCTTCAAGGAAGCAAACGAATCCCTAATCAAGTAATACCCTTTACAATTTCTTTGGGTCAACAGCGAAGAACCCACTTGAAACCAGAGGACACAATACAAACCCATACCAAAAAAAAAAAAACCCAATAGAAAGCGATCATTCACTACAAACAGGGGGCCAAGAAGTAGCCGAACCTTGAAATGGAGAGGGACGCCGGTGTTGGGACCAATGCCTTTCTCCCCGGTGCAGAGAGCCCTGAAGTTTTCAGCAGTCTTGGGGACGACGTCGTTGTAGAGCTCCACTATGACCCGCCCTTCAAGCTCGCCGCCGATGCTGATGTCGAAGAAAACCCTGGGCCGCCCCATCTCTGTCTCTGGGTATAGCAGTTTCCTCGCCGCTGATTGTTTGAACTTGAAGCGACGTTGGGAAGAAGACCGAAGAGCGACGGCCGGTATTTATTGGGGCTGCAAACGAAGGAAGGGAGGCAGAGAGTTGGAGTGTCTCTAGATACTTCTGTATCATTTTTTTTAAAACCCTAATAAATCAATTGATTAAAAAAAAAATCTCCTGTGTTTATTATTGGCAAATGGGAAAAGGTGGGAAAACGACCCTAGACAAAATGGGAAGAAGAAATGGAGGGAATGGGTGGGAAATTAGGAGGAGCTCCCAAGAGGAGGAAAAGGAATCCCTTTTGTTTGTATCAAGATTGCAAGTTGTTGGATACCTAACAAATTAGGACCACCCTTTCCTTTGGGTGTTTCTTCTTGGATATCACTTATAGGGGAAAAGCAATTAGGTTAAAATTTTCTTTTTTTTTTTTGTCATCCTTTTTCAGATCATCTCCAACAGGAATTGAGAAAACACTGAAATGCCAAATGGTTTTGGAATTTTGGCACTCCAAATGTGGTTTTTGCTCCAACAAGCAATTCCAAAATGTCAAAAGGCCAAATCTTCTCTTTTTTGTGACAATCTACTTTAGTGTCGATTTCATCATTTCAATTAGATAATTTGTAGATTATTTGTATATATTTAGCACTAATTAATTAAGACGAACGTTTCGATATAATTTTTGTTGATTTCGACTTAAAAATTTATCATTAGATATGATGTCATTAATTACGAAATCACAATAATTTGTTCAAATTGATCATAAACACTTCACATGTTCAAATATGACATCATTAATGACGAAAAAAAGTTATTGGAGGTTAATAGAGTCGTCAGAATTTAATTTAGGGACTGAAACAAAAAAATTTAATCAAGTGAGAGAATCTGACATTTCTTGTCTTTTTCTAGTGGGTATTTGGCAATTTATATTTTGGTATTTTTGGCATTTTATCTTTTCCCAATTGTTGTTGAAGGTGATATTTTAGCATTTTTGACATTTTGGCTTAGTTGTTGGAGATGCTCTTATATATCATTCTTTAGTAGATGCATAGGCTCCTAATACTACAGAAAAGAAGACTTTTAATTGGAATGTTGTAAGTAGTGACAACCACTTGTTACAAGGTGGGATGATGATAGGGAAGTACGATATTGTCAAATGTTGCTCAGGTATGACCCGTTAAACCATTATCTGAGCATGATTGAGTTGATCGTGATCAACAGCGATTTGAAATCAAAATTCCGAGTGAACAAAGTCAAAACTTTTTTTTAAAGGAAAAAACTTTAATAATTTTGATTAGCTCATGATAAGGGTAATAATGTAATCATGCAAATGCCATATATTTTTTATTTTTGTTCCTTTTTCCGGGCAATAATGAAGCACGGATATGATTTTCCAACTTGAAAAATCAAAGCAAGGCTTCCACGTGAAAAGTGTCTGATCAATAGTCTAATCTATAATTCTCCATTCGTGTATTGTTTTTGTTTTTGTTTTTTTTTTGGTGGGGGACGAAGGAGGGATTGCAAAATGTTGCCACGTGGAAGTCAACCATGAACAGAGATAATTTGGTCATTTTTTTCAATTTTGCTAATACATCTGAGTCAGTCTCATCTCAGTTGCTCAATAATATTTTGTTACGGAGCTACATTAAGAGACATGAAATGTAATTAGGTAATTAACATACTTAAAATAAATTTTAAAAGTTTCTCAGATCCGTTCCATTTTTATTTATTATTATGATACTATATGATAATTCATCATTTTGCTCATTCATGAGAATTTACTTACCCAATCCAAGTGAGTTAGGTATAAAATCTAAATACAAGTTAAATTAGTAGGGTTTGATGTATTTATGTTCATACTCATTTATTTGGGTTAAATTGAATTTTTAATTTACGACTTTGGATTTGTACCTATACTTATTTCTAAATTACAGTTTGACACCTAAACTTATATATTTTAAGATTTCGTGCCTAATTTTTTTTACATATAAGTCCTCAAATTATCGATGAAAAATTAAACTTTAATACCTAAAAGTTTTGTGTCTTACATTTTGATAATAAACTTTTTACGTTTTTATAGGTCTACTTTTATATGTGTAGTTAAAGCTATCTCAAATAAATGAACATCCATACCCATTTAGAATATGAAAGCAATACCTAAACCCTAACCAAACTTATCTATAAAACCTCAAATTCATATACACTTCACTCATTAGCCATAACCCTACCTATATCGATAAATTTGGGTAGAATTATACATGTGTGAGTAATTGTTATTCCTAATGACATACACATTGAGTAAGAAAGTGATATATGGACCTTGAATTGACTGGAGTTTGAGACATGATATTACCATAACCCTTAAATATTAAAATCTAGGTCTTAAAACTTTAAATCTCATACACGGCGACCATAAAAAAAAATGATGATCATGATTCGTCGAAATACATCCAAGAAATTATATGCACCATCATAGTGTATACGGTCTATGATTTAGATAATTGAGACTTAGAGTTCACTCATTAAGGGATTAACATATAGTATCCCAACATTCAGTTTCTTCGAGATTTAGACAGTCTTTTTCTTACCAAGGATGCGCGGTACTCTAGATTTACTTGAGTACAATAAAATGCACCATGTAACAACTATATAAGAAGCCGATCTACTTAGATCATATCAGATTATCCTCAAATTACCAACGAACCATGATTTTGTATGTTATTGAAAAATTACTGTTAATCTCTTACTTTGAGATGGTTGCCAACTAATTTGAGGATATTCATACATAAGCGAAAATGAAGTTTCTCGTGCTACTCAAGAAAACAATATGGAATGTCTATACATGCAATCATATATAGTTACATATATGAAACGTCATGAATATGTATGAATAATATTCATGGTCAAATTAAGCTCATCAAAAGAAAGTGGCATACCTTTCGGGAAAAATTACCTTTATGATGATTATTACAAAGATGATGTTGCATATCTGTCGAAATTGACATTCTGAGTATATAATTAAAAGGAGATATGATAAATCATACTTGAAAGTTCTTTTCAGTTTTCAATTCATGAACTTCATAAGAATGGCGAACCAAAAGTTTGGACAATTTGTTTGATCAACAATGTTACATATGTATGAACTAGAATACTTCACGAAACAAATGTGTGAAAAAACCCGTCGGAGATTGATTACTCCAAAATTGACGGATATCTATATGACGGATTGATACTATGGAATGTACTTTTTTCCTCTTAGTTATCATGATTTTCCTAGTAAAGTTTATAATGAGACAATGTACAAAAATGTATACAAAATACTGTATTTTTTTCTTTCTTCATTAGGTTTTTATCTCACAGAGATTTCTTATAAATGTTTTAATAAGACGTATTGTTAATCAATCTACATTTACAATCGACATTTAAGAGGGAGTGTTAAAAAGAAAATTCGTGAATGCACAGTGAATGTATCAATAATCTATGAATATATAGTAATTCATAGTAACTTTTCTTCCATACATATCATTAATTCCTAACTTCATAATTCATTGTGAGAGACTTTCATTACATGATGAGGAAGAGAGAAATTTTATCTTTATCGTCTGTAAAAAAAAAACAATAGAAAGAATTATATAGCTATTTTTATAACCCATTTTACTCCCATATCTCATGTCTTATTACATACCCTATAGTTCTACATTATTATTTTAGGGCTAATACCACTACAACACCTGAACTATCCGGAAAATGCCACTTGTGTCCTATTGTTTCCAATATTCCATCTGTGTCCTGAACTATTATTCCGTTAGTGTTGACCGGCATTGACCGTTAGTATTTAACAGAAAAACCAGTCAGCGTTGATGTGGCATCTGACGTGGAATTTTTATTATCAATTTTCATTTATTTTTCCATCTAAAATAATTAAAATAAGGAAAACAAAATAAAAATTATGGAAAATTACAAAAATAAAACAATAACTCAAATCAATTCACTTTCTTTCTCTTCAACTTCAAAAGAAAAATCCACTGTAGAGGTTGGAAGGGATCAGAGAGAGAGAGGAAAATCAGCAACGATGAAGACGATGAAGACGGGGCTGGAGAGGATCCGAGATAGAGGGGGAAATCGGCAACGATGAAGAGAGAGGAGTCCCCGTAGGTGGCTTCGTTTGGGAATCGGATTTGGCGGACTAAACTCTCAAAATTTCATCCTCAGATTGTGAGATTGAAATTCAAAGGTCGAATCCACTAGATAAATTTAGGAGCTCTCTCCCTCTTCTCTACTACAGACTCGCTCTTCTCTCTACCTCTTCTCTTCCGACTGAAATCCCCACCATGGTCGAAGCCAACAAGAAGCAACCCACAGCCCAAGAACGGTGGAGACTGGAGCCACTAGAGAAAGAGAAACCTAGCTCCAGTAAATCAACGAGAAGACGAGGCGAGGCCGCGAGGGAACCACCGGATTTGAGAGACAGAGCCAGCGATTTTGTTGCTCGAGATTTAGCGAGGGATGTCTCTCCGAGCTTAGAATCGCCAGTAGGAGGCGTCGGTGGAGATGGATCTGGTGACGGATTTTGTCAGAGTCATGATTCATAGCTCCTTTCTTCAGCTGCAGGTCCCGGCGAGTTGCAATTCTCCTTGCCGCCAATCCCGTCCAGATCCCCAAACTCGAAATTAGGGATTGCAAACGAAGGTCGAGCTGGCGGAACATTGTTTGCAGCTGTGGCTCCGGTGGCGGCTCTTCCACCCGCTTATCCTCAAATCCCGGTGGTGATTGTTCTGGCGGTGGTGGAGAAGGCACAGTTTGCAGTCGAAAGAAGAGGAAGAACGGAGGCGAAGAGAAGAGATTAGGTTAAAAAATATTCTTGAATTTAAAGTTTTTTCAATTTTTTTATTTTCAAAGTTTTATTTAATTTAAATTAAAAATGTGAGGTGTCAATGACTTGGCATTGCCACATAAGCAAAAGTCAATTTTAAGTTGACCGCCGTTTGGTCAACTGTTATCTCTAACGGTCAACGAAATTGGCAGGATACAAATGGCACAAAATATAATAGTTCAGGACACAGATGGAATATTGGAAACAATAGGACACAAGTGGCATTTTCCGGATAGTTTGGGTGTTATAGTGGTATTAGCCCATTATTTTACATACAAGTTGCACTTGCTTCTGTTACATATAATACAAGGAGGGAATAGGTGTGTAGTCACTTTCTCATGAACACTATCAAACAAGAATGTCAACATTTCCCGTACAAACGATGGATTTGATTATGTGATCAAGGACCAAGTTTGCTTCATGTAATTGGTTAATCTCTTAAAAAATGGGTGTCTTTTTGGCTAATTTTCCTATTAAATTAATCGTTTTTTTTCTTCTGGAAATTAATCAGTTTTCGCATAAACAAGTGTGGGCTTTTCCAAAGTAATTTTTATCTAACTCCAGGTAAAGCTTATTTGGAGTCTGCCAAATATATTTCTATCATCTCTATCATTCATCAACAAAAAAAAAAAGGTGAAACTCAAGCTGAACAGATATATTTGTACACCACTTTGGTGTGACACTTCTGTGCTAAAGCATAATAGTTAGTAGTTGGAAACTAATGTGCTCAAATGTTATGGCTCAAGCAACAATTACTCGATTATGGATTTAAACTCGCTTAACCCTGTCTGTAATATGTGACAATTCAAGTGCTATCAACACGAGCAAAAATCATGTTCAACATTCTTGTTCAACATTCTGTGGCAAAACATATAGATATTAGGTACCACTTTTTGTGCGATTTAGTTCAAGCAGGAAGCCAGGAACCATTCGAATTTCTTATCTATCTAGTGAAGATCAAATTGTTGACATCTTCACAACACCTTTAGGTTCTAACAGGTTCACTATCCTTAGACATGAGTTAGGAATGATGGGCATGCAATCACTTAAGGACTAAAACCATACGATGCATCCACAAATTAAGGAATGAGTATATGTTACCAAAATTCGTCACGAGTATCCTTGATTTTAGCATGACCCTCCATCAATTAAACCCCTTAAATGTTCGCTGCCCTCACATCATATTTTTTCGATTTTGAACCTCAACAAGATTAATTATTACATATTTGATTTGAAGAAAGACTACATGTTTTCTAGAACTTAATAGAATTCTTGAAACTTTTTAGGACCATGGTCATCAAAATAATCAACTTATCATTGCCACACCCAGCCATCTCTACAAGTTTTGATATGGCATTTGCAACGAGCTACTTAAAACGCTCTTCAGTTTTGTGACTCATAAAGTCATAAATGCCTATTTTATAGGATATAATAAGATTGATAGCATATGAATATGCCTTTCAAGTTTTTTGAAATACGAAATTACGCTGTGAAATACTGTAAAATGTCTAAAAAATTATCTTATGATATTTTGTTTTAAATTTGGACTCACCTCATATGAAATCCGTACTATACCACCGTGTGGATTAAAAGTTTTTTTTTTTTTTTTTTTTACTTTTCACTCATTGAGTTGTTGATCTTATTTTCCTACAATCACACTTCGATCATGGTAAAAATGCCAATTTTATAACTTTTCAAAGCATATGAGTATATTTGACGTAAAAAAATAATAGAATGCAATGGACACATGGTTCATGCAAAGTCCAACCAAACCAAAGGCGTTATTATAATCAACCAAAAAAAAAAAAAAAAGATGGCAACTTTCAGCATTTGGGCTTCGGGTTTCATCAGCCTTTGGATACTTCTGAATTTTGGGCCTTCTACGAAGAAAGCCCAACAATAAAACAATCGGCACCAATCTTTGCACTCTCTTCCAGACTCTAATCGAAGAAGAAAGAAGAAGAAAATTCCGAACGATAGTGTAGTAACTTTTTGACCTCTCCGCCCTAAAAAGCAAAAACTTATAAAGAAACAACACCATGCAGCCTCTTCTCTTTTCTGCGCCCCTCTCTCTTTATGCTCCTCCAATGTCCACCACCACGCCTCTATACCAACAACAACAACAACTTCTTCCACCGCCGCCGATCGCCGCGGAAGAAACGGCGGCTTCCCAGCAGCAGCAGCAGTCCTATATCCGGCACGGGTCGGTGGGAGGGGTGATCGCGGCGGTGGCGATCATCGCGGTGCTGGGAGTCGTAGCCGGTCTGATCGGAAGGATGTGCTCCGGCGGCCGGGTCTTGGGACACGGCGGCCAGTACGACGTGGAAGGGTGGGTTGAAAGGAAGTGCTCCTCTTGCATCGACGGCCATCTCGATACTCCGCCGCGGCGGCGGCCGGATGATCATGTTCCGCCGGCGGCGGCGATGGAGGAGGTGAGAGAAGATGATCTTAAGAGTCAAGATGATGAAGAAGAAGAAGAAGAAGAAGAAAATGATGATGATGATAAAGGATTTAGTGTTGATCATCATCGTCAGCAACATAGCGATGAGGCGGCGCCGCCGGTGACGAGGGAGGTTAATTAGTTAGTGATTTGATTAAGTACGAGGGAGGTTAATTAGTGATTCATTAAGTATATTGTTTACCTAGAGCTAGTTCCTCTTCCTCTCATTGTTTCTTGTAATTTCTGTGTGTTATGAGGATGGTAATGGGATGAGGGAATCTTTTTTTTTTTTTTTTTTGCTTTTTATCCTTGAGCAAGGCAATTGCGATCCAACCACATCTTGTCGGCTCACTTTTTTCTCAATTCCTTCCTGACTTCTTTTTTTACATTATTCCCCACGAAGTTTGACTCATAAAAGGGAATTTGTTTTTTGTTTTAACCATGGTCCATGAAATCGTACCGGAAAAGTCAGCAGTAAGGTATTTTATGGCAAAATCGTGGTTTAATCATAGTTCAACCGTTAATACCGTTAGATACCGCCTACCGATTTAGCTTCCGATACTCTGGTGTTTTGTGGTGGAACTGCCGGTATGATACAGTTTCATGGACCATGGTTTTAACACAAAAAAAAAAATCAATTATGATGGTTGTGAAATCATACCGATAAATTAATTACGATGAGGCTAATGGTGGAATGGAAGGGAAAAGTTCTATGGTTTACTCGTTGGGTAATTATATTCGATATTTACTAGTGATTAAGGAGGTTTATAATTTTATTTTTTATCGCTTTATCGCTTCGGTCAATAGGTTACTGATGAAAAATTTAGTGACGACAAGCATTGAAGAAGTTGTTCATAACACCGTTGTTGCAGGAGTTGGGAGAGTAATCGAGCGGTCGATGATAAGTGACATCTGGAGAAAAAGATGCAGGAGGATGTATGTGAGGATGTTAATTCCTTGGTTCGAATTATAAAGTCAGAAATGGAATGTTTGATTGAGGGTCAGGAACTTGACCTTTTTTTGGTTGTCTGCAGTAGTCTGAGTCTTTAATTCATTTTTCCCCCCAGCTTGGAGCATTTGTTAAGGAACTTCAACAACACTTGGCTCATTTTAATTTCGAAAGTAGCTTTGGCCAATTAGTATTTGCTGTTTCCTTACAATACTTGGCTCATTATATGATTATTGCCAAAATTTTGGTTGAATGCATGACATTGCATTTTCTTATGATTATTATTTTTTACCAGAGAAAAAAAATGCTTTCACGGGGAAAGACGTTAGATAGTTGACAGTGTTTTGATTGGCCATGAGAACATGCACTATCTTAAGAGTTAATATCAAAACGAAAGAGAAGAAGGGTTGCATGGCTGATCTTAAGCTTGATAAATTTCTACGGAAGACTTGAGTGGCCTTTTTTTAATAGTAGTTTTAACTCAGTTGGGATTTAGCCCTTTGAGATAAATTTGACTAGTGAATGTAGCTCGTCCTCTCAGTTCTCGGTCTGTTCAATAGAATTATTCTAGCATAGGTTGCTTGACCAAGAAAGTGCGGCCGACGGCTAGATGAGGGAGAAGAGGGTTCGGGTAGGGTGAGAGAGAGAGATAACTTAGGAAATACTTCTTGTGTTATTGCTCAATCGTAACTTACTCTTAACACAGAATATATATAATCCGACTAATTCTCTATAACTACCCAAATACCTAACCTAACCGATTTAACCCCAATAGTTCCCGAAATATCCAACATGACATCAAACATCCCGAATAACGAATAATAACAAATAAACCCCAGAAGAACCGTATATCTGACACAAGATGAGGCCACTAAACCAAATAATTTGCAAAATTTTATTCAAGATGCAGCTTTTGACACTTTCAAAATGGATGGCTAGAGTGGGAGTGTCTCAAGAATGGGTTAACACTTACCTTAAAACCTCTTTTGACAGTATCTAAGCGGTTAAATACTATGCCCACTTTCGATGAATGTAAGAAACTAGAGCACTTCACCTGGTAAAAAAAGAAGACAGAACTCCAAGGAACCATAGTAGAACCCAGATTAGCAGACATAGAAAATGGGTTCAAGTTCTTGGGACTGTAGCAAAAAAAAAACGCGATGAAAAAAAAAATGGCCCATACAGGTCTCGAACCTGTGACCTTCGCGTTATTAGCACGACGCTCTAACCAGCTGAGCTAATAGGCCAGTTGATTGAGTTTTACGTTGTTAGTATATATTGATTTATTCTGCAGTTTTGGTTAAATATTATGGACATTTGGCGGGAAACATTTGACATTACTACGTTAGTATGTAATTTCAATTCTCTTATTTTTAGCCGCATCCACTTAGAGTTGGGTTTTAGAATAGTAATCGATGTGTTGAGTTGAGTGCAAATTCTCCTAACTCAGTTCTAATCATGGTGTATTGCTATTTGCTAATTACAATGCTTCTTCCAAGTTCTAACTCTATCTAATATTACCTCTTATCTTTCATAAATTTATTGGGATAAAAATACGAAGTTGTAGCTCAAACCGGTATATTGTCCACGACTGATTCAAAGTTTAGTGAGAGCATAAAACAAGGACCGGATCTCTTCTATATATAATTTTTTTTTTAAACCTTTGATTTGTTTTCCCTAAATTTTGTTATGACTTCTTTCTACTTTTATTACTCTCTTATGCTCTCCACACATTTATACCGATTTGATTATCATAATCTAGATGAAGGATTGTCCTCGCCACTTCATGAATCACTCCAAAAGAAATTGGATAAATGCAACTAGAATCACTACCCACAAATACTCTCAACATATCCGAGAGTAACTTGAAATAGCTGAAATATGAGCGACCGCATAACATCAAATTCGTTATCAAGTTCTTTATTCAAAGCAAAAGTGTTGTTATACAGTAATAGAATCAACCAAAATTTCATCTCAATTAAAGGGGGGAAAAGCCCACCATAACCACCTTTGTTTGTTTGGTCAGAAGAACAAACCAATTTCATACATGCACCAATCGTACTATACACCTCACCAGACTTATTTGATGATCCCAAGAAGTATCTGTCACCTCCTAAACATGACAAAAAGTCATTTGCGCCATATTCTCCAAGTAAAGAAGAAGAAGAAGCTCTTCTTGCCTCTCACCCTCTACACCAAAACAGGAATTAGAAGAAAAAAAATATGAAGGGAAACATAACAAGCAAAAAATGGAACTATATGGCTACTTGTCGATTAGTGAAACATGGAATTCATTCCACCATTGCAGATGCTGTTGCAGGAGAAGCCACCATCAACGGCTTGCCTCTTCCCATGGCGAATCCCCTGGTTCCATCAGGCATTCTTGGACCCTTTGTCGCATTATACTTAACAGACGCTGCTGCTGCCTCAAATGGACTGAAGCTGCTTGTTACAGCCTGTGGAGATGGCGAGAGAAGGCCTCTCCCACTGCCATGGCTTTGCAACCTTCCACCTCTTCCCTTCCCTCTCCCTCTTCCGCATCCCGCCGCCTTCTTCGATGATCCAGAGATTTCGTCCACCTGCTGCTACCAGAGAGTTAGGATTGAGCTCGAACGGGGGAGAAGAAATATGGGTTTTTACTTTTAGGATGTCGAAAAGAAGCTTACGTTCGACTCGGAAGTGAGATCTGCAGTGCTTGTTGGGATAGAGATATCATCAAGTGAATCAGAGAATGATCCCTCTTCGTCGTCCAATACGCCTTCGAATTCCGACCTCCTGCTTTTCAGCACTGATTTAGGCTGCAAAAAATTTGCACCCCCAAATGAGGGATTTTTGGAATCCTTTCCTTCCCCAAATGGGATTAAGAAAGCAAGCATCTGATTTCGGACATACCGAGTATCTAAGGAGCAATCTGACTCGCAACCCTTTTCTCCAATTCCTTTCATCATTCAGCCTCTCAACCTGGCCGATACAGGGGAGCCCCAGCAAACTTCAGGACAAGAGGCAGAGAAAGCTTATGATCGCGTAACAGCCAATACATAATAGAACAGTGGACATCACATACCGCTCTCTCAGCTACATCCGGTGTCTCAAACTCCACTAGAGCATGTAGCTTTGATTGATCAAATGGAATTTAGAAGAGCCATGAGTAGAAAAAAGCCCTTGTTGGGTTCGGAAAATAGAGATTTGATTGAAGAAATTACTGAAGAGTGAATACCTTGTTGCTCATGAAGAAATCACTTTTAGACCGAGAAGAGCTTGATTCCTGAGGATGGCAAATCCTGATGGTTTTGACACTGCCGAATGACAAAAGAACATTGATATCAAACACAAACACATAGATCATGGAAGTATTGAACATAGACAAAAAAAAAAATTATTGTTAAGTTAAAACTACCTTCCAACAACACCAAATATCTTCTCAAGGTTTTGATGAGAGTGATCCTCAGGCAAATTCTCCACTACCACACTGCGAGACTGCAATTCCTCTCTCTCTTTCTCAGTGAAGGGAAACTTACGTTTAACCTTCCTTCCATCTTCATGCACAACCTTTCCCCATCCATCATCGAAGCATTAAGTAAAAGATCCACAATTCACAACTCAGTCGCGCAGAAACTAAATTTTAAAACAAGTCTAGAAAGACAATCCATGGGGGGAGCTTACGAGCTTTGGAGATGATTTGAGTGCCTGGGTGATCAAATGATGGTTACTGGTAAGGGACTTCATTTTCTTTGTGGAAGCAATGACAGATATAGGCACTGTTGCATTCAGGTACTCAAGTTTAGAACACGCCAAGATCTCAATCAATTTGCAGGTTAACACAATGGTGTGGAAGAAGAACGAATCCATGCTTACCATAACCTTCAGGATCTTTGCTCAGGTGCTTTGACATCGATTCGTTTGCAAGGAGACTCATATCACTGAACTGGTATTCTGCCTATTGAACCACAAGAAACGATTTTGTCAAATGGGTTATGCAGCAATTGGAATTCTGCATCAGGGGGACGAATCCGGAGAATTCACAAAAAAAAATATTCAAAATCCCTAAGATGGGATCTGAATCGTCTAGCAAATTTCCCCCTCAGAAAATTGAATCGAATTGATACAGAGGGCACGAGAAAGAGGAAGTGGATCTGTATAACCTGTTTGACAATTTTCTGGCGGAAATCTTCGGTGAGAACCTGGGAGGCATCCTTGGCGGAGCAATTGGGTAACGCGACATTAGGGTTCGAGATCAAATAAGCGGCGCCCACAGCGGAAGAAGCGTCCTGATCACCGATGAAGAACCAATCGGAGCCACCGGTGGCGCTCAGGTAGTGGAGACAAGGGTAGAAATATCCGGAGATCGGCGACATCTGCTGCTGCGCGGCAGCGGTCGTGGCCGCAGCGATGGCAGCGACGCCGGCGGAACGCGATCTGGGTACGAACTCGGGAGCATGCGCATTGAATTTGAACGAAGCACCGCAGCCACCGGCCGAAGCTGTGCTGTCGCTGCCGGCGGTGGGGGTGGTGGGCGGTGGCTTGGCTTTCTCCTTGATCATCGCTGTAATCATCATCATCTCCTTATTATTACTGCTGGCGGTACTCTGTAGCGAAGAAGAAGTTTCTTGGTCGATGAGCTTCTTCTCTGGATGGGCTTGCGCCATGATTGAAAATTCGATCGATTGATCGTTTTATGCCGATGTTATTATTATTGTTTGGAGATTAGGTTTTCAGTTGTGGGGAATTTGGGGATGGTTTTCACAATCTTGCTCTTGCTTTCTCTTTCTCTTTCTCTCTCTCTTTTTGGGCGGGTGTTCCTCCTGAAGAAGAGTAACTGTAATGGAGAGTGGGTTATTGAAAATCCACCTTTCCCGCGCAAATAAAGGTAATTTTTTCTTCATTATTTATATAAACTTTATAGGAAATTTTGATTTCATTGACCACAAACCGTTGCTTGAGGGGATTTTTGACCAGCCCTATTCAAGGGTTTGTAATTTGCAAATGTTTCTTGTGCTCTTTTCTCCCCAGTTTTTCTCTCCTTACTCTCCTTTTTTTTCCATTCCCTTTTCTAAAATTAATATTGGTTTTTAATTGATTTAGATAATGAGTTTTTTTTTATAAATTTAGAATTTTGATAAATTTACGATCATGTTTGTTCTGGCTGAAAAAAAAAGAAAAGGACTAGAGCCAATAAGCCTTGTAGGTCAAGAATCGAAAGTAACAAACACTCTCAACATCTAGCTAGAATTTGAGTTATAAATAAATTTATGAGCACTTCTACTATGCTATATAACATTGATGCTTTAATGTACAACTCAAAATTGTACCATAACATTAAATGTATAAGTTTAGGTTGTACCATAAAACAATTTGTACCATTATGTTATGGTACAACTTTACAACTTGAAGTTGTACCATCACATAAATGTACAAGTTCAATTTGTACCATAAAAGAATTTGTACAAAAAAGTATACGTACAATCTAAAGTTGTACCATAACGTAAATGTACAATTTTAAGTTGTACCATAAAGGGAAAAACCTATAGCACCAATACTATATAGCATTGTAAAATTTCTCTAAATTTAATTGTAATGCATTAGTACATTCATTTACAATATACTGAATTACATTGTCACTCATCAAATTATTGGTTATTCGGTTATCGATTCATTTCGACTTCAGTTAAAGGCTTTGTCTACTGAATGAAAGTAGTCGATTATCAAAAAAAAAGTTGCACAACTTATTTGTCGTATAATTTATAATTAAAAAGTGATATTCTTGCAGTTGAAAAGTGATATTCATTTTTTTTTTGGAAACGGAGCGTTAAAGGGCGTTCCAACCTTTAATCATTTAACGTTAATCAAATGGGGGCAAGCTAACCCTAACCGAGTCATAATATAACCAATAAGATAACATCGGGCAAGGAGCAGTGATGTTGTGATCATCGAGCGAGAGACCATGGCATAGACACGCCAAGTAATCATCAACAACATTACCCTCCCTAAGAACATGAATAAGCTCCACCTCCCAATCCTGAGTAAGAATTGTTTCGAGCTTCCAAGATCAAACCTGCGTGTGGATGGCGAATTCTTGATAACGTGAGCAGCTGAATAGCCATCTTCGAGTCTGTCTCAACAACTAGGTGTCGGATACCAATCTTCCAAGCAATATGAAGGCCATGCACTAAACCTGCTAACACAGCTCGAGTAACGGATCCCTCCGTCAGATTCCGAGCAAAACCGCTCCTCATGTAGCCATCTTCGCCTGAAAAGTGATATTCTTATTCGTCATGTAAATTCTTACCATTTCATATAAGGGTCGAGTAAGCTTAGGGTCGGGTCACTTTTTGACATTATGACTCTTAGATATGAAATTCCACATACCAACACATTGGACCTATTTGTGAAATTTTAAAAGTTTAGGTACTAAATTGTAAAAAAATTGGGTACCAAAATATAATTTACCATCAAAATTTATGAACTTATTTGCAAAAAAAAAGTAGGTACTAAATTGTAAAAAAAAAATTGGGTACCAAAATATAATTTGTAAGCAGTTTGTTGACAAGGGTCGACCCACTGATCTGATCCTTCATGACCCGCCCCGACACTAGAGGATCATATAGGATCAAGAATAAAATATGGACGGGCCAGGTCAGTTATACATTTATCTTGACCTTTCAGCTCTATCTGTAAGGATATCAAGTCCTACAAACATTCTATAGAGTTTGGGATGCATTTACTCACTCTCATTAGCTTTGTGAATAATCACAATGCAATAATCGAGTTTGCCTCAATTAGATATCCGCTTCGAGAAGATTTTGAGAAATTATTTGCAGTAACTTGTATTTGCTCAACCAAAATTGTATTTCTCACAAATCATCTTTTCTTTGTTGTGTGACTGCAACGATTATAACAAATGCCTTGTCTTTGTATCGTTGGATCACATTGAACACTAATAGCAAAAACGAAAGAATGACAATGATAGAACCATAGAAACACACCAAGATTAAACCTTTTGATTGCTTTTCCTCTTTCGCTGCAGCAGAGGCAACTCTGAACCAACCAAGACGAAGACTAACTAGGATCATAAGCTCGATTAGAGGAAACCATGACGATTTGGTGTGATTGCTAAAATTGAGGTCAAAGAAGCAAAACTTTCTTCATATAATTTCTAGTACAAACAGGGACACTATAACAATTTGCTGACGCCACAACTATCAAAATTGTTCTCTGAAGTTCAATAGGATTGCAACCTTGGACAATACTTTCCGAAGAGGCGGGCAGTTGTTGACGATGATAAGTAGGGTTGATAATCGGTTGATTATAAGTTATAACCGGTATTGTTTAGTCAGTTCTCGATTAACCGTTAAATACTTTGTACTTGTCATGAATGATTTCGTTTATATTATTCGGTTAACCGTAATCACATAGTTGGTTCTTAGTTATTTTGTCAATTAATCGTTAAACAAGTGATTTGGCAAGGTTATACCAAAATAACTGGTCGGTAATCTAACCAACATAAGACATCAATTGTGCATTTTTGCAGATTTTTTCCTACAGATGTTATTTTTTTAAGTAGTTATCATTGACTTACAAATAATTTTACATAGATAACAATCCATAATCAACTCAATCAAACACTAACACCATCCTACCGTCCAATTTGATTAAAGAAACAAACAAAAATAAGAGATCCTACAATAATTACTCAACTCATAAACCCCACCAAATTACATAGAAGATTAAATGATACTGATTGTTGTCGGGATAATATGCTCAAGTCCAACTTTCTATTGTGCTCCTTCTGTAGTCATTCATTGAATTATTCGCATTTGAACCTAAGCCACGATTATAACTATGGTAGGCAAGGAATCTTGTAGGCCTTCAAACATCCCATTATTCTTTTTCTACGTCTACGGCTCATCAAGTCCTATTATTTTAGACCCTAACTACGATGACGATCTTAATCGGTTAGTCGGTTAATTATTTAAGTATCGGCTACTAACCGCGTAACCGTCGGTTAGTAATTAGCTAATTTGGTTATCGGGAACCGATCATTTACTATATAATCAATTATAGGTGTAACCATTAACTATCGATTCCGCTTCGGTTATCTATTATACCGCTAACACGATAATCGTTTACTAGTCCTATGAAGTGGGAGTTTAGTTTTATTTTTATTTTTTTCTTAATTGTATTTTTTTTTTAATTGACAAGTGATTAATTGAACATTCAAACGTCAAAATTGACGGGCACTTAAGACGAAGATAACAAAGTTAGACAAAAATTGACCATTGATAAAACTAGTGACGGGCCCGGCCGATTGGCCGGATTCATTTGTTAATCGCGTAAATATCAGTAGCAATTTGTATGTGAGATTTGTGTTTCTTTGCTAGTATGTTAAAAATAAAGGTTTCTATAAATATTTAACATTCTAATTTTTTGGTAGCGTAAAGGAATTCAAAATTAGCAAAAAACTTCAACCATTCAAAAGATGGCATCATATGTTTTTCAACATTCTAACCGAATTATCGAGTATAATTGTCTTACAAAAAATGAAAGACAAACCCTATGTCAAGGAATCGACTCCTATAAGTTTTGTAAAACACCCTTCTATACTCCTACAGTCCTACTGCATGTTTTTGTTTTTGTGTTTGTAAAGATCGAATAATCTGTCGATGTCCAAGTCCAACACATGGTAATACCATTTTACATGATTAAATTGTTATATTAAAATTGCATCATGCACCGTTTAGTGAGCTAAATGCCAACATAATAGTTACATTTGTGTAAACTATAATAGCACATGCTATAAATTACATGGACTCCGTTAACAAAACGGATCCACATAAATCTGATGATCATTGCTAACCATTAATTTTAAGGATGATCGGTTTATCCATTTTTATGAGGTTGTTTAATATAGACATACCAAATTGCTCGAATTTGTACAACGCAAAACGTTGGGTATCAAATGTAAGCAAGAAATTTGTAGGTACCAAATAACTGTCGCCATTTATTTTGTACTTTTATTCTAGAAAATTATTTTAAGGTGTTGAATCCTCAAATATATTAAGTTTCGGTAGAATAATATAAATTTTCTATGAGTATGGTTACCAACTCAAATCAAACAATAAAAATGTGGACCAAACCAAATAATTTGGTATTAGTACTTTAGGCGATTATGATTGCTACACCATCAAATGTCTTTTTCCACCTTCCACGAATTAAAGGGTTAAGTGAAAAATAAGTAGGTAAATTAATTAGCAAATCATGAAAACACACTTCTATAAGATTAATTTAATGATTACTACACCATCAAGTGTCTTTTTTCTTGCATATAAAATTAATTGAATGAGGATATTAAAATTCATGAAACTAATAAATGAGCATGGGGTAGACCACGTTTTTTAAATTCAATGGCCATTACATTTCCAATGAAAAAAGATCATAATATTAAAATTGTAACATAATAGTTAGGGAACAAATAACGAACTATGGATGCTTAAAGTAAAATTATTGAATACAACTTACATGCACATGTTTTTTCAAAAAATTTATTCTCCAAAATCTCCTTCAGCAATTGATGTAGCTTCAATTTGAAAACTCGTGCGAGGACATCTGCTCTATTAAGATCTTTCCTAGTAATAGTCCTTTTCAAATCAAGCATGTACAAAATCTCAGCGCAAGCAGGATTACATGTAAATGTGATGAAAAGATCTGGATATCCTATCCATCTACGAATCGCCATAGCATCATGAAGCTTTCATACGTATATGCTATAGCGAGGACTACCTATATGTGATAAAGCTAAAATCACCTATTCTCAATTCAGACTGGTGTCTGAATCACCTCTCAAGTAAGAATCCAAAAGACCTTGGTAGTATTGTTGTCGC